GCGCTCTCTCTCACCTCTCACCGGACTCGCTCGCAGGTGAGCCGTCCCCAGGGTGCCGTGTGCTCACCTGTTGGGCAATCTCACGCGGCGCCGTGGTAACAGCGACAAACACAATCATCTCGCCCCCCCACCACCACCACCACGTATAGCATCACAAGACTGTGCTGTTAGGGGCCGTCCACAAATGACGTCACGCGATTTTGGACGATTTTTGACCCCCCCCCCCCCCCGTCATCACACGGCGTCACAAAAAGTCAGTCGCCCCTAAAATATGACGTCACAAAGCTCTGCCCCCCCCCCCCCCAAAAAAATATATAAACATGCTTCAAATCGCTTTAAACTATTGTCATTGTAGTGTGTATTTAATGTGGCGCTGCACTCTGATGTTGTAGGAGAAAACATGTATTAAAAAGTCTATTTAATTAAGTAGAACGTGTTGTCTATATTTATTTAAAGATTGCGCATTTTGATGTGACGTCACATTTCTCAACCCCCCCCCCCCCCCCATCGTCACACATCGTCACAAAAATCTGACCCCCCCCCCCCTAGGTGCGTGACGTCATTTATGGAAGGCCCCTTATCGAACACAGCGTTGGTGTACGGTGTTTTTTCTGTAATATTTTTGCTGTCTTTTCTTGGATTTTCTGTTTGCACTTAGTCACATATTCACTTTAAGATGTTTTTTTGTTCATGTTTTTGTTTTTTGTTTGTTGCGGTTGCACCCGATTCAAGAGCTGAATGGCTCACAGGGCTATACCTAATAAATGAACTTGAACTTGAACCTCTGAAGGCCAGCACGACATACGAGAAGGGGTTATGTGGGTTACACCGCGCCCGGATGCCTTTGCCCATTTCCGATGTTTACACAGAGCACCAGGGTACACGCGCGTAAGGCCGAGTCTACCTAGAGGAGCCCCAGCACTGGTGAACGAGTTGGTCTTATGGGGGGGTTCAACAAAGTCCAACTGCTTGAGGAACTTAAACCCTTGGCGGAGCATTCAACAGACACCCTTTGAAGGGAAAGCTGTTGCCTCCAAATGTGGAAAAAAAATTAACCTGTAAAAACAAAGTTTATCACTATAACTCCTTTATATGCGTGGCATCGGTTTCATTTTATTATTCATTTCTGTTTTTCTTGAGTAAGCAAGCAAGCAAGTGAAGTTAATATAAAGGATTTAAAAATGAAAGATCACCTCTTGACATGCCCCGTATATTCCCGAGGGCACTAGCGTTGACCCGTTTAACCACTTTCAAGAACCTGGCGGCTTCAATTTAACTGCTCTATAAATAGTCTCCATTGTATAGCGTGGGGCAGGGATTTCATGCCATGTGGTTAGTCAACATTTGCGTCATCATGAAACGGGCGGCTAGAGTCCTCTAGTCCTCTGGCTTGAGATGGCTGCCACCTATGGGTCAGATGATTGTCTGCCACCATTAAGCAATTGGTAATTAAATATTTATTTATTTTCCCCTAAACAGTGTAAAATTGTGGAAAAATTTTTTCACGAAAATTAATTGTCACGCACAACGAGTCTGTGTGCAAAATGTCAGCTCGATTGGATCACGGGAAGTTGGTTAAAAAACGACCGAAAGATTTGCACGGTCGTAAGCAAGCAAGCAAGCAAGTGAAATATAAAGGATTTAAAAAGGAAATCCGTTTCGATGCGACTTCAGCAGCAGGAGTTGTGGCATCTTCAAGGGCCGTTTTACTGGTAGGAACGAAGTGAACCAGCCTACAATAGATTATATCGCCCGTCCGTCCGATGTCCGATTAGGTGTAGCAACATCGCCCCCTACTGCAAACACTTGGCAGGACCCTACAAAAACATTTAGACTCAGTGAGGCTTTCCTGGCTAAACAAGTGTAACATTCCCTTATAATTCCCTGAGATAGTTTTTATTAAAACATTTAAATTAAAAATTTACTCACAGCAGCCTAAAGCCTACAGCTAGGCCTAAAGCCTAGAACTAGGCCTCAAACTCTCCCTTCGTATCGTACCCCCGCGTGTGTGAAAGGGAGTTAATGTTTAACAATGTTACATTCCCTGATGTTTTTAAATAGAAACATTTAAATTTAAAGCTTTAACATTAATAATTAAAACTTTTAAATTAAAAATTAACTCACAGCGGCCTAAAGCCTACAGCTAGGCCTAAAGCCTAGAACTAGGCCTCAAACTCTCCCTTCGTATCGTCCGATTAGGTGTAGCAACATCGCCCCCTACTGCAAACACTTGGCAGGACCCTACAAAAACCTTTAGACTCAGTGAGGCTTTCCTGGCTAAACAAGTGTAATAATACATTATGTTTATATTCTTTGGTTATTCGTTCCTACCAGCCCACCCCGCAGAGACCTGTTTCCTTGAACGCAGCTGAAAGTTTCAATCGGAAGTTCCTTTCATCTCATAACATACGGCCAATCGCACAATTAGACCGTAGAGAAAATATAACCAACTAAATCTCATTACAATATTGCTGCTACCGTTGCTGTCCAAAGTAGCTTTAGGAGCTCCGTCGGGTCAACTCAGGGGGCAGAGAACGGGAGAGCCCAGAAAAATAAATGGAGCACTCTTTTGCTTACTATACTGCATGTGTCAAGTCATCGATGGAAAGATTTGCTCAACGCCGTGGATATTTGGCCTTACACACAACCTGTTAAAATGCTCCACGCACGCAAACCCTCGCACAACTTAAAATGTTGATGCTCGTGTGTAAAATGAAAACTTTGAACAGAACCCATTTTATCTGTGTAGTGGTGTTAACTACTCGCTGTTCGCAAGCTGAGAGTTGCGGATCGTAAACAAGGTTTTCCCGCTCAATCAAACGGTCAGGGTCAAATGGGGTGAGGTAGGATCCAAATGCCAGATTGGAAAGGACCAATCGCAGGGTTCCACAAGATGGCTGGGGATTGAACAACAAGGCCACGAACAGGTATAAAAGCCGGAGCGCTGAGAGCTCTAGGTTAAGTTCTGCTACACGAAGACCCAAGTCGGCTGAAGACAGCTAGGACCCTGGACCAAGCCTTCCCGCTCTTATCAGGACTGGGGCTCAGTGTCACCAGTGGTCAGGGGAGATAGGTCCTGGATAGAACCCTGGCTCCCAGCCTTCCCGCCCTTGTGAGGGCGAAGGTCTCGAGCGACAAGAGGTCGGGGACCCGCCGGCCCGGCAGCGGGTCAGTGTGCCTCCCCTAGGTCCCAGCCGGAGGACGCTAGGCTAGCGGGGAGATCAGATAGACAGCAAGTCCGAAGGCTGTACCTTCGTAGAATAGGAGCGAAGAGTGAGTATGAGCTGTGCAGGGTCAGGAGACTGTGTGTTAAGATAATAAACAGCGTGTGCCATAAAGAAGTTTAGAAGTCCGTCCTTTACAACACAACATCTGTATGGGCTCTGGGGACGAACAATTCACACGCATTTTTGTTCCAATTAGTGAATTGTGGAAAATTTAAAAAAAGACTTGCACCTCCATATTGTGACGCTTAAAATAATATTTTCCGGGAAACAATGTGGGTTGTCGCACAATGGATTGCACACTTCTTTACGATATCAACGTTCCAGATATTTGTGGTATTCTCTCTTAACAGCTCGGTGGCATCACGCACTTTCAGAGCTGCTACTCAAACGACCACACAGATAGAATTAGCGGTGTTGTTGTTGTTGTACTGTATTGGGTTGTATCACGGGGTCCTACACAGAAGCGACTGTGGAGTTTGCTTGAGTAATACAAACTGCAGAGTCTCTTTGAATTGTGGAAAATTTAAAAAAAGACTTGCACCTCCATATTGTGACGCTTAAAATAATATTTTCCGGGAAACAATGTGGGTTGTCGCACAATGGATTGCACACTTCTTTACGATATCAACGTTCCAGATATTTGTGGTATTCTCTCTTAACAGCTCGGTGGCATCACGCACTTTCAGAGCTGCTACTCAAACGACCACACAGATAGAATTAGCGGTGTTGTTGTTGTTGTACTGTATTGGGTTGTATCACGGGGTCCTACACAGAAGCGACTGTGGAGTTTGCTTGAGTAATACAAACTGCAGAGTCTCTTTGCACTCCGTGACTACCAAGGCAACATGCAAATGATGGCGTTATGCTCGGCAGACTGCTACACAGTGGACTGTTTCGTAAGCGGTACAGGCGCGCCGCTGCAATGGCTGGCTGACGCCACTGATGGCAGAAGGCCCTTCACTTGAGCGAACTCGATAAGGGGCCGTCCATAAATGACGTCACGCGAGTTGGGACGATTTTGAACCCCCCCCTCGTCACACGGCGTCACAAAGAGTCAGACCCCCCCCCCCCCCTCGAATATGACGTCACAAAGCTCTGCCCCCCCCCCCGCCAAAAAAAAAACATTTCCTTTTTGAAAATAAAACATGCTTCAAATCGCTTTAAACTATTGTCATTGTAGTGCGTATTTAATGTGGCGCTGCACTCTGATGTAGTAGGAGTGTTGTTATAACAATTAGTATTGTTATAACAATTCTATATTTATGTAAAGTTGCGCATTTTGATGTGACGTCACATTTCTCAAACCCTCCCCCCCCCCGTCACAAAAATCTGACCCCCCGCCCCCCAGGTGCGTGACGTCATTTATGGCCGGTCCCTAAGGTATTTAGCCTACCCTCGCACGTTTTCCGCACACGTTGGAAGAGGTGAGCAGACCCACGCTGTACCAGTGTACCCCATCACACGTGACCTGCCGGTCAACTGTGGATCACCCACTTCTACGCCTGGGTGGATAGAGGCACGGAGGGATGAGTGGGGGGGAGGGGATCTTAGCTATCTGCACAATTTTTTAACTGGTGCCCCAGCAGATGGAATTGAACGGCCGGCCTCCAGATTGCGAGGCCAGTGCGCTACTTAGGACACCAGGGAAGCTCCCAACATCGTGTCATGCGCATCGTTCAGGCCGCTGCCAAAACATGGCTTCCCATCCTCACGTGAGCCACCAAACTTTAAATTGCTGCACGAAGAGGCACAAACCACACACACACACACGGGTACCAAGACTATAGTGACGTTTATTTCAATGTTAGCATTAGTTTTGTCTTGTAATTTATAGCACAACTGTCCCCATTGATATTGTTCATGTTTGCTTTGGGTAACACAATGCCCGTGGGGGGGGGGGGGGGGGTTTCAAATGAAAAAGACTCGACACTTGTCAAAAGCATTCCCCACACTCCCGTAACGTTCACCAAGACTGCTTTTTAAAAAAATGTACAAATTATCGCCATTTAAACCCAAACACCACCATAACAAAAAAGGGCAGATACTGCAATTGTGAAAGCTTGTGCGTACCGTCGTGCTTTGTATGCGTGCTGTGCGATCACACTCTGTGCTCTTGAGAGACGTAACACGAGGCTCCGGGGCGAAGAGAGGTAGGGGACAACGCAAAGTGGAGGAGTGACAGCGACGTGCAAGTGAACGGAGCAAGTGTGGCAACACAAGGAAAGTGGTGCGACACAAGGAAAGGAGTGCACCGCAAGTGGAGGAGTAAGGGGGAAGTGTCCGGGGGTGCGAGCAGATGTGCCGAGTGGGGAAGAGTGGAGGGGAAGTGGTGGTTTGTGCTGTGTTGAGAGACGTCAAAGGTTTGTGAGATTGAGAACGAGACTCCCGAATGAGAGAGGGGGTGAGGGCGATTTTCGGGGCTTGGATGAAGCTCAGTCTCCAGGCAGTTGTCATTTCATTGCCGGCTTCAGAAAGTCGGCAGCACCGTCACACTCTGCGCCGATTCAAGAATCAGCAGCTCAACACAGGCAGAGCTTAACATGGGAATGTTCACTGGATAATCTGACATTGTGTCATTCTGTTTGGTGACGTGCCCCCGAGCGGTGACATGTGCTGGCGGTTGCGTGTTGGCTGTTTATTGCCGATTCACGGTTCGAATCCAGTTGCCGCCCTGGTTATTACTGTGGGTGTTTTATGAAAACATTAACCATTTGTTTCAAAACGGACGTCAAATATCCCGTGACGTCCTCTGCAAGAGTGGGGAATTGTGTGCAGGACATGATTCAATCTTGCCAATATTGATAAAGTAATAGCAAATTACTCAATTGAGACTATTGATAGTAATTATTGCCCCCCTACTATGAAAACCTGGCAGGACCCTCCTGAAAAAGAGTAATGTGAATCAGCGAGGCTCTCCTGAGTAAAGAAATTGTTATTACAAATTACGTGCTAAATCTATTGGCAAGTTATGATACTTCTCTACTTTTGTGGAATTGCAAATTAGTGTTGAGTTTTAAAAGTGAAACAGAAAGGCAATAACGAATTTCATTTGAAATAGCTCGGCAAGAATGCACTCGGACTGGTCGTGCTCTCTCTACTGCTGGAAGAATACCTCGTACCCATGCCATAAAACATGTTTAGTCGTGTTAAGAAATACGTGCGCGAGTAAAAATTACTTAGCAACCCACGTTAATTAATAATTGCACTTAAAGTTTTACTCGCTTTAAGAATTACTGCGATTTTTGTTTCATTTAAATGTGAATATGGTTTAAAATGCAATACTATGAATGTAACGAATAAGCGTGCAGACCACACAATTTTAGAAAAGTTGGCCCGTCATTTGTCCGGACAACTACTTGAACTGCCTCTCTGGTATCAAGCCGCTCCCCTAAGTTTGACGCCTCTTCATAGGATAAGCTGACCCCACTCCAAATGGGATCAGCTGTTCCAGCTGAGATCAAGTTCTTCCGGTCAGGATGTGAGTTTGGTTGTTCGTAGCAACACTTTCTATTTGCATCATCTTGATTAGATTGCGGAAACCAATTCTCGTGAGATGGAGCATGCGTGTCCAGTTGAATCAATAGCCTGATCTGGATACAATCCTTGTGAAATCAGCTATACTTTGCGGATTCAGTTGTTCCTGATGCCATCAGCTGTTCCTTCGAGGGCTGCGTGTCCCTTGGTCAGATTTCGGTGACGTAGTTTCTTGGGAAAATCCCGACTTTGCCATTTAGTTCCCCTTTGAGCCACTCCAAGTCCTCAGCTCCGAGGATGGTCAGCACATCACCAGTCTGTGAGAAGAACAAAGATAAAACAAAGATTCCCCCGTATAGCCTTAACTGACTGTAGGGGCAAGTGCTGTTAGCGAGCACCTATGAAGGCCAGAATGGCACACGAGGGGGTGGGTAGTCAGCACCACGCCCGACCACCTTTGTCTCCCTAGCGGCGATGTTTACACACCGCACCAGGTACTCATTTGAGGCCGAGTCGACCTAGGGGAGGCCCAGGACCGGTTCAGATAATCGTCACTGGTGTTTGCCGTGAGCGGGAATTGAACCCGGGTCGCCAGGTTTGTAGCGCAGCGCGCTAACCGCTACACTACCGCTCCCCAGAACACAACCAACATCACCTGCACTGCCATAGTCATCGCCATAAACGGAATCACCACCATGGCCAATTTCAGAAAAATCAGTTACCACATCCACAAGAAATGTCAATAGCATCACTGCCTTCAGGTGATTTTACTACCACCACATGTAACATCACCTTCAGCATAAACACAACTCATATTACTGCCAGCAACACCACCACTGACAGTGTCACCACCACCTCCTTCTTAAGCTCATTAGTTAAAGATAATTCACAATAATGACTTAAAGCTTTCGTGACTGCAGGAATTCAAATTCTTTGGGTCTTTCGGTAAAGTCACGTAGATAGGTTCAAAGAAAATAACATGTAGTTTTTGTTATTTTTTTGTTATTTTCTTTTAACCTATCTAAGTGACTATACCGAAAGACCCAAAGAATATAATTCACAACAAGTCCAAAGTCAACCCACGACTGACTGACTGATGTTATTGAGACCAGCTCGTAGCGACCTTCAGGCCGCCACTTAATACATGACCTGTAGTTCTCCAATAGTAGACAAGTCGTGACCTCTAAGAGCAGCTCAAGGCTTCCAAACATTCCAAAGGCCAAGTCATGATGATCGCTCTCACCTTCAAGAGGTGAGCTCATGTTACACAGGTCAGAGGTTCTCAAGATTTAGCGTCACGAAAATAGTGTCGGAGGAAATAACAGTTGTACGGAATACTGCGGGCTTCAGACGAAACTTTAGAAACTATGCTGGCAGCGTCATTCAAGCAGTCTAGATAAGGGGTCGGCAACCAAAATGGTGAGTCATTGCGGCACTTGAAATATTGCATCTGAAGACGAGACAGTCCTTAATAAATAACATCACGAAGCAATCCTTTAAGAGCCACATGCGGCTCCGGAGCCACGCTTTGCCGACGCCTGCTCTACAGTAACAAGGCAGTGATTGCGAGCGACATGTTTCTGGACCATCCTCACTCCACCGTTTTATTCCAGATGCCGAGTGCGGAGGCAGGCAGTTGAGCATCCCTCGGTCACAGCCAACCACACTGCACATTGCTGACAAACTATGGGGCCCCCCAAATCCCATTCGAGATCCCTTGATGAGTGCCGCTCCTAGGCGTCCACAGACACCAGTTGAGAGGCCCTGCGGTGGACGTGCAAGGCAGACTCGGTCGTTACCTTGAAGCTGAGCTCCTTGACATCTTCGCCAACGAAGTCGTAAAGTGCCTGAACCTGAGGCTTCTCCTCACCTGGACAACCATACGCACGGTCACGCGCAGACACAAGTGTACACACGCGCACACATGCACACAGCCAGTCACGTGCAAGTACACATGCATGCATGCACGAGGTACTAATATAAAGCCAAGTTGACTTAAGGGAAGCCTTGGACATGTTGAGATAGCATTCGCCACTTATAAGCTACATGGGCAGGAATTGAACTCAGGATTCTGAGATCATAGCACAGTTTGCGGAGCACAGCACCACCACTACCCACACACAGATACATGGCTACAACAAAGAACCCCCTTGTACACCCAACATGGACTGTTGGGGCAAGTGCTGCTAGAGAGCATTGATGAAGGCTGGCACGGTGCTCGTGGAGTGGCCAGCCAATGCTCAGTCACCTTTGTTTCCCCAGTGTTGGTGATTACACACCACCGCACTAGTCACTTGCCTTAAAGTCATTGCCCGAAAGAAACTGGTTCAGAACTCAGGTTGCAAGATTCATGTACGGGAGCCACTTTCCACGGAGACAAAGATCCCCTGTATAGCATTAACAGAATTTTGGGGCAAAGTACGATTAACAAGCACTTATGAAGGCCAGCACGACACACGAAGGGGTGGGTGACCAACACCACGCTCGGCCGCCTTTGTCTCCCAAGTGGCGATGTTGACACACTGTACCAAGTACTCATTTGAGCCCGAGGGGAGGCCCAGGACCGATTCAGATAATCGCCACTGGTCTTGGCCGTGAGCGGGAATCCAACTTGGATTGCTGGATTCGTAGCGCGGGGCACTAACTTCTGCATGACTGCTCCCCACACACTGTCACTCACACCCACGCGCGAGTGTAAGTATCCCCGTTTCCATGGAGTGGCGTTGCTCAGCCGGGTACCTGCGCCGAGCGGGAGGTCCTCTAGGATCTCCACGAAGTCGAGCGGGAAGAGGCCCTCGCGGCCGTCACGGAGCCGCCCGCGTGCCCACTCCCCGCCAGGGTCACGCGCGCACAGCGCCACCACAGCGCCTTCCTCCAGTGCCAGCTCGTCCTCTTGGCCCGGCTCAAACGCGAAGCGCACCAAGCAGCGTGGCCCACTGGCACGCAAGCACATGCACGCGCGCACACACACACACACGTGGATGGCCCGTGTGAGTAAATAGGGGAGCACACAGGTACACGCACTGTTAAAACAAACGCAAACGGGTGGTAGTGCCCTCCTCCAGCACTCGCTCATCCACATGAGCTGGCTCACATGGGAAGCACACTGTGCATTGTGGAGGACTGCGAGTCGACATGTACCCGCATGCGACAAACGCACACGCGAGCAGACGCAGGATGGTGCCCGCCCCAGGCACCAGCTTGACAATGCAACAGAGCAGCCAAGCAAGCACTGTGAACCGCCCGCTAGTGCGCACATAGTGCGCACGTGTTCTTTTGCAAAGGGGTCTACGTTTTGCGAGCACAAAGAGAGAGCATAATTCTGCAGCGACAGGCTAGGCAACTTCTACACGGTGTCACGCAGCCGATGAAAAGACAATGTTGCTCGAATGATTTCGATTAAGTCCTCCTCTGCCACATTCGAACTTTGCTCTTTTCCTGCGATTTATCACTTGCTCTGTGTTGCCCATGGTTTGGCCATTGCTGCTGCTACGCACCCACACTGGCCACTGCGGGAGTCGTGCAAACCCCACGCGTCATCCCCGCTGCTGACGTGCGGTCTTGCGGCTGGCGGGAGAATCGAAACATTGCTGGCAACGCGAGGAGCGCCTCTCCTCCATGCCCCAGTCACGAAGAAACCCTCCTCCAGATTCATACAAAAAAACTGAGCTCTGGTGCGGAGCTCACAAAGCCGCCCGGGCACCAGGCTCCAGGTGTCAGAGAAAACCGAGGGATTCCTGTGCGAAGCGCCACGTGATCTGTGACGCGGAGCCTCAAAAGTGACAGGCGTTTGCCCCCGACAGATTGTGGTTTTTGTTAGGACTTGTGGTGTCATCTGGGCATGGGGTCATGCTAAAAATGTATGGAACTTCCCAATGTCTGCTGCTGGTTAAAGTATTATTCGTGTTCTCACCTGGAAATTTCGTCATTGTCTTCTACATCCACCTGCAAAAAAAAGACACGGTCAAGCATGTAGACTGGCATGAGTTTCTATTATCTCATTACCAATCGGATCCCTACCGTGCTACCGGAGTCAAACATGAGGCATTGAAGCTCTAGTTAGAATGACTTCTGAGGTCGGACCCACAAGTTGAAGTCACCGTCGCTCAGTGGGGTATGGCGGATGCAGTTCGCGTTGTTGCTGTGGTGTTGTTGCTGTGGTTGTGTGTGTACCAGCACTCTGACGTAGCATGCGGGGAAAATTCCGGTCTTCCCGCGCAGTTCCCCACGGAGCCACTCCCCGCCTGGTTCACGGCCAAGCAGGCGCACGGTGTCTCCCACCGCCAGGGACAACTCTCCGGTGCCCTCTGATATCGCACCACACCAGCGAGATTAACACAACGTCACGCAAGCAGGATGACCACCACGCCATGTCACAGTCAAGATGGACACCATATTATGGCTTCAACATTAAAACGTCACAATGCGCCATACGGCTAAGATTAAAGCCATGCAACATCAAGATGAACACCACAAATCCCGTCATGCCATATGCGGTCAATATTAACATCACGTCAAATAAGGCCATCAAAATGATCACCACTCCATCAAAATTAGCAAAATGGCATGTCTCTTTGGACTCAGTGTGGAGTTCAGTTTCTCTCTGGTTTGGATATGGGTTTCTCTACTCCATTCTCCAACCCACAGTTTCTCCACACCCCGTCCTCTGATGTCTACAAGTCTCCAGCTCTCTCTAGGGCAAGGTTTGGTTTGTTTCTGAATGGTTCCAAGAAGAGGCACCATCTCCCTCACTCTCTCTTGTCCTCTGGGTCTCGCTCCACGCCCTGCCGCGAGTCTAAGAGGGTCTAGGGGAGGGCACGTTGCAAGGCAGCGCCTGCCTCTCACCGGCTGTGAAGTCGAAGAGCACCTCCGCACGCGGGGAATTCTGAAACCAAAACAGGAACTTTAAGACAAGAGTTCGATATCAGATGAGACAAGGGTGCTGCATCAGATGAGACAAGGGTTCCATATCAAATGAGATGAGAGTTCCTGTATTATGCGTTTGGGTAGGAAAGTGTGCACGAGTACACGTGCACACACACATCTGCTTGCGGATACGTATTCATATGAATGAGTGTTGTGGGTGCAAGTGTTTATGGGGATTGGTGACTCAGTGGTTAGCACACTGTACTCTGAACCCAGCGATCCAAGTTCACTCCCCACTTATGGCCAATAACAGTGGTGGATATACGAACCGGTCCGAGGCCTCTCCTAGGTAGACTCAGCTTTAAATGAGTATCTGGTGCGGTGCATAGACATCAGTGCTGGGGAGACTAGAGTGGCCAGGCGCAGCGTTTGGTCACCCACCCCCTCGTGTGCCACGCCGGCCTTCATCGCCGCTGCTCGCTAACAGAACCTGCCTCAACAGCCTCCTAAAGGCTATACCGGGGGACCTTTGTCTGCGTGCCCTAATAAGAAGGGAGGAGGCTGCGTGTGGCTAGGGAAGGCAGCGTGGTGCACTGCTCACGCCATGCGCCGAGCCTCTCCCGTCGTCACCGCCGTCGACGGCGCCGTCGAGCGGCGTGACAATGTTCACGAGAGAGCGGCGCACGCGGCCCACACGGTCACCACGGCGGCACTGCAGCCACACGCCGTCCTGCTCCGACACCAGGGGCAGCACCTCGTGCGGCTGGGAAGCGCAACACACACACACAGACTCAGACAAAGATCCCCCCCCCCCCATGATGGCAATAGCAGTGACGATGACGGCAGTGGCGGCGAAGTGATAGTGTGGGTGACGGTACCTTAAAAGACAGCTCATTTGGTGCCTTTGCTTGGTTTTCCACGCGTGTGAGCACATGGGGCATTGGAAGCTGTAACGCACAAAGGCAAACACACCCGATATACCCTCAACAGGAATGAGCACCTATGAAGGCCAGCACGGCACACGAGGGGGTGGGTGGCCAGCACCACGCCCAACCGCCTTTGTATCCCTAGTGGCGATGATTACACACTGCAACAGGTACTCATTTGAGGCCAAGTCGACCGAGAGAAGGGCCCAGGACCAGCTCAGATAATTGTCAATGGTGTTCGCCATGAGCGGGAATCGAACTCGGGTCTGTAGTGCAGCGCGCTAACCGCTTCAACTACCGCTCTCCACACGTAAACCAACACTACACACACACACACACACGGATCCACGTGCACGCACTCACGCACGCGAGCACACACTCGCGTGCTCACTTACACGTGCTTGCTCTCACCATGTAGGTATTGTACAGGGGGTGCCCCGGACCCGGTCTTGGGGGCAGGTCCCCCTGTTGATCCTCGGAGCCCTCGTTATTCACATCGTTGCCCCTCCGTTCGCGGCTGCGCCCCCTTGGTGCTGCGTCGGTTCGGGCCGGGCCCCTCGTGTTTCCAGGCAAGTAGTTAGGCCGTGGAGGAGGCGGCTTCTTAGGAGGGACCTTCTGGGTGCTCGGCCTGAAGTACACACACACACACAGACGAAGATCTCTCGTGTAGCTTTAACAGACTACTGAAAAGAGATGTTAGCGAGCACCTATGAATTGCCAGTGTATTGCACAAGAGAGTGAGTTGGCCAACACCACAACCAGCCCCCTAGTTGCTCATGTTTATACACAATACAAGATGATAATTCAAGGCCGAGTTGACCTAGGGGATACATGGGAGCAGTTCTGATATAAATCCCCACTGATCTTAGCTGTGACTGGGAATCAAACGCATTTCACAATTGAAAGCACAGTCATCTATTTTATTTTATTTCACACACAACACACATCCGAATTTAACACACGTGAGTGAACAGCTGATAACGATGTTGATTCTGATCAAATGTGAGCAGGTCATTATCTTCATCATCATCATCATACCTTTTGAGGCACTGGGAAAGGTCGTCTGTAAAATTTGCCCGGCTTTCACTTGCTCGATTGTTATCTCCAAGCTGCACACACAAAGACAAAGATCCCCCATGTAATCTTACAGACTGCTGGGGCAAGTGCCATTTGAGTACCTACAAAGGCCGGCACGGTGCACGAGGGAGTGTTCGTGCCAACAACCAGGACCCTCCTCAAAAGTGTCTTGAGACTCAGGGAGGCATTCCGGGATGAATAAATGACCATTATTACATTAATTATAATCAACTCACAGAATACATGTGAAAATCAAATGCAAATGTACAACGGCCTACCTCATCCAGTGAGCGCGAAGACCCGTACCTCGTTGACGCCTGGAACTGAGATGGTTTCCTGGGAACCTTTGCGACATCTGGGGTCGATCAACATCACCAGCAACAACCACCACACATCAGCATCAACACTTCAGCACCAATGCTAGGATTGTCTATATTAATCATCAAGGAGACACCCTGGCATTAAGGCCGCTATATCTAAAACAATAATCAGCACCATAGTGGAGAATAAATAACACAATAAATAAGCAGACAATACCATCTCCTTCACTTATCCATCTCCACATAAAAACACATTTCTTGCACAACCCATCAATCGCAGTGCATTCTGGGTTGTGTAAGAAATTGTTTGTTTTACTTGGAGACGGATATGTGCAGATATATTGTCTGCTCAATAATTAAGCTGCATCAAACACAAGTAATAATCATTATTAATATCAGCACTAAACATCAGCATCATCACTGTAACATAAGATCAACATGAGCATTAGTGATGCTATTTACTTGTTTAACAATCACTATTAATACAACACTCAACAACACCTCATCATCATCATGATCATCAAAGCAGCAAGTTGGCACAGTGGGGGGCCATAAGTGGTGCTTTTGTCAGTCACCTCAGCAAGTCAACAGATAACACATGGGGGGGGGGGGTCTGTCCCGTGACCTCCTGCCACTAGCGAGCCTTCCACATTTCACGTGGCCTCAAAGTCCACTTAGCCTGGCACTAGCGCCGTGGTGACATCACCGCCACTTAGTGATAAATGCCGGCCGTTGTTGCTGCTGCTTTTTGTTCACTTGTGTGTGTTTGCGTACAAAGGCGTGCGTGTTACCTGATGCCGTTGGCCGAATTATGGTCGGTTTCCTCAAAGGCAGAGTCTCACTCGTGGAATATCCTGAACGGAACACACAGCTCGTTTTCCTCGTGGCATTGTCAGCGCAGCAATTGACACACGTCACCCGCTGTGCAGTGCATGCTAAAGACCACGTGACGTATTCATTCACAAGAGTCGGCCATTATGAGCCACCGATATCAAAGCTAGCAGCTAAAGTGGGTAAATGCTTTAGTCTCAAGTCAATGGGAGAGTTGTTAGAGGCAGAAGAGAAGTGACCTCTCAGCTTACCAAAGACGTCTTGGGTTTTAGGTTTGCAGAGCTGAGGAAAGGGAGGGCTAATCCACATGGCAGCAAGGCAAGAGAAGGTGGATATAAAAAGGTGAAATGTTGCAGTAAATTACAGCAATTACAATCATTACACCACAGAATCATGACAATAAATACCCTATTTACAATATAACTGTCATACAGTATTTATCTTTATCATCTGCACCACGACATCTTGTGAGATTACACATTTTTCTCGTAAAATCATTCAAATTATAAATGACTGATGGTCGTAAATCATTACCAACACAATTGCCTTCACAAAGACAATCGTAGTCCTATCTCCGTGACTTTACCGAAAGACCCAAAGAATATTAATTCCTGCAGTCACGAAAGCTTTAAGTCAAGATACAATCATCGTCATCATGTCAGTAAAATCAGTGTCTTCATAGTTATTAAGATAGCAAATGATCATGGTTACAATACTGCTATAAAACGAAATGTTGTATATGCACAGCAATGTATTTCTTTATTCAAGAAATGCTCCTAGAGTTATGCTTCTGATGTTTTGCTACGTCCTTTAGTATGTGCAGTACAGGACGAAATCGGAATGCTTGGAAAAAACCCACACTTCTTGGAAATGTTTATTACAAGTCACACGCTTAAACCGAAAAAACGTGTTCTTTGGTTAATGCCAAATCCACGTGATCCCCTCTATGATTGATTTTTATTTGCATGGCTCTGCCATACACTTAGTGGGGGGAGTCTTCTGCCCGGAATCAGGAAAGTGTTATCACTGAGCACGCGCATCGATCGGTCCGTCGTTAGTATTCGTTCTAAAATCGTCATTTGTGCTTCACTTTGAGTGATTTATCCGATAATTTATTTTGGTGAGTTCTAATTTACGAAACTGTGCGATGGCAAAGAAACTTAAACATCATTTATAGCTACATTTGTTGTTTTTGGCATAGACATCCGCGGAAAATTGATATTTTTGAATTATCCGAGAATTTGAATCATCCGCGGCCGTCATGAATAAAATATTTCATTAATTAAATATTAATAAAAAAAATACATCAGTAAATATTATGTACTACGTTACTCCTTCTCCAGGGCAGCCATGGGGGAGCTACTTGCACTCATAATCCGGGTCATTTTTTAGAGAACACCAGGACCCACTTGATCTGAGTGATGCGGCCCTCCGTCTAAATTTCTATGGTGAGCTTTATTTTAGGCGGACCCTGAGACTCTATCCCAGTGCCGTGAGTTCCCACCTGGCTAAACAAATAAAATCATTTTATATTATCGTGACTACAAATCTTGAAAATCGAATCACCCGGGGTAGGGTCTGGTTGGCTCAACGTACATCGCTCTCGTCGGCGAAGTGATTGATGGGAATGGGTACATTTTCTCGGCCAGCACTGCTGGCGTGTTCTCACTCGTAAGTGCTTTCAGATTGTACTTCATTTTTTTCCCCTCCAGGACAAAGAGCGCTCTAACAAATCAGCATTCGACGGGGACGCGCCAAGCGAGGTCTTCCTGTAGCTTACATATGCTACAACACCACTACACTGTCTATATATGCTACAGCCCTTTTCAATTCCATGCAAATAACAAGGGCAAGGAATAACATTTATTCATAAAACGAATCGTTACTGAATTTTGACAAGTCAAGTCAAGTGGAGAGTGAACCCTCACTTTGGCAGGGCCGGCATTTCTGGCATCAAACACGTCGAGCAGTTGCTGAAGGGCGTAGGCAGCGGAACAACAACAGACATCCGACACTCACCTTCCAGTGTCTTGCGCAAAGACGCATAGTCGTGTTTCGTTCCTCCACTGGCACTATCATCTCGCTCCTCATCTGACCATGATGCGGGATCCACCTGAGGCCGCTCCATTGAAGCGGCCGCAGCCGCTCCCACTGGCCGCTTATTCACGACCGCGTACAAGTCCGCAGCACCGCCACCTTGCGTTATCGCCGCAGCTGCCGCCGCCGTTCCGGCTGGCCGCTTATTCACGACAGCGTACAAGTCCTGAATACTGCCGCCTTGCATCGCCGGCACCGCTGAGCCAGCCTGCTTCGCCCCGGGCTTCGGAGGCGGCAAAGGCTTCGACGGCAGCAGGGCCATGGGCTTTGGCCCTTGAGGCATCAGCGGGCGACCGCACGAGTTCGTCGATGCCATTGCGGAGAAGGAGGAGACGGCGTCCGCAACCGATGACGACGGAGCGGACGGACGCCGCGCGTCGTCCTCACGGCATCCCTTGGCACCGCCTCCATTGATGCTGGTGCCATCCACCGGGGGTAGCACCAGCACACAGCTCTTGGGACGGACATTGGGTTTTGGTTTGAGCGGCGCGGCATCGCCGACACGAGATTCACCATTGCCGAACCTGGTTTGAGATCGGGGTCGTGGCACGGGCTTTGGTGATGGTGATGATGATGCTTGCTGTGCAAAAAAAGCAGCCCTATCCGCCACACTGCGGACACCGTCCGAGCTCATTGTTTGAGATGGCGATACTGGCGACGACGTCGGTGATGATGCCGATGATGGGGGGGAGCGAGGAGGAGGAGGTCGTGAGACCTCCCTGTGACGAGGTGAGGGGACTGGGCAGGCACGAGCCGGGGATTGTGTGCTTCGAGGAGACAAAGACGATGTTAACGGTGGAGACAACTGCAGGTGGGAGACGCTGGTCACGAGGGTTGGTGGTTCGGGTGAAGTTGATGACTCCGAGGTTGAAGTTGAGTAACTTAAAGGAGACGCTGAAGATTCCAAGGTCGACCTTGATCTTGAAGATGATGCCAAGGAGCCAAGTCTTGATGTTGGAGAATCGAGTGTTGATGCCGATGACTCCGAGTTTGATGTTGAGGAACTTAGTGTTGATGCTGTGAATCCTAAAGTCGCCCTTGATACTGGGGGTGATGTTGAAGACTCTGAGATTAAAGTCAAGGATACTGGTATCGATATTGATGTTGAGGGATGTAAGGTGGACTTTGATTCTGAAGACCTGAGTGTTGACGTCTGGGTCCCAACAGGTTCTAAATCAAATGACACGGGAAAGAGGGATAGGGATGTCGGGATGTTGGAGGGCGACTCCGGCAAGGTCCTGGCGGCCACCGACGGTCGTGGTCGTGGTCGCGGTCTAGGAACAGAGGTCACTACAGGAGGAGGAGCAGGTGATGCCAACACTGTCGAGGTGGTTGGCACGAGGGGTGGAGTGGCCTCCGAGTCCTCCGAAAAGTTGATGAGCCACACGCTGCCACGGTCGCCAACCGGACGGGCGCTTAGCAACTCGAGCGAGGAGGCGACTGGTGCCTGGGAGGCGACGGTGGTGGCAGGGAGAACGCCGAGGCGGTCCTCCGCCTCTAACGGCAGGTCCAGGAGGCAGTGATCAGGTCTCCGAGGTGAGGTGGCGGCGGGTGGGGGCGGCAGCAGTGGCGTCACGACGACCGGGTCAAAGGTCAGGCGGGGAGGAGGTGGACGCGGGGGTGCCGAGGCGGTAGCGGTTGAGGATCGTCGTAGTTCTGGTAAAATATTGGAATAAGCATTGTTTTAAAGTAATTGCCTATATATTAAAATTGCATAACCTCGCAAACCAATAAACTTAAGGTAACATTCATCCACTAGCACGAAAACTATTGTCATCATAACCCCCCAAAGGCCATGTACAACAATTTAGCAAAAAAATCTGAGATACTCGGTCAGAAGGATAAAACTTTAACAAGCAGCAGGGTACACGTACCTGGAGACAGCTATTGAATGCGAATAAAAATAAACCAAAACGGTGTATTAAAGGGGCAGATGTTAGTAGTGTGGAGTGCTTTTTTAAATTCTGATCCCGATTTTAATGGAACAACAATGTGACGAAAGAAGACATTTCATCAGTGCATTCTACTTCCTATGACATACGGTTCAGAAATACTGTGGTCATAAATAAAAACTAAGGTAATAAAAAGCATGGCGAGATGCATGCTTGAAATAAGAGAAAGAAACACGAATGGATGCATTAGACAACATAGCAGGTTAATGACATCATTTGTACTGTTAAGAAAAGCGGGCTTGGGTAGGACAAGCAATGCACCACATACCCACTTGAACAGATCTCTCATATAACACCAAAAATGAGAACTGTTTCACCATGTACCAATCATTAAATATATTTATAGAGCTTAGCTCTGAGAACTAGGCGAGGCTGAATTAAGTGACACCAACTATAAGATTAGCGATGGTAGTTAAAATTAAATGGAGACCTTCAAACTCAACTCACTTCACTGCTTCAAAGCATGCCTCAGTGCTACGAGAAAACCCTTCAACCCCTGGGCAAAGAGAGAGACACCCAACTGCAGGTGTTGCATTTGGAATTATTTTCTCTTGGCACTCTTACAAGACATCCATTATGATTCCCTCGTGGATGGAGTAAAAGAAATTTAGGTTTTCTCACCTAGTTCCTGTTCGCCGATATCTTCTGCAGCAGTCTGCGTTGATATGGAAACCAAGCCGGACCTAGGAACGGCACTATCATGTGTTCGTCCAGAGGTCTGCTGCTCCTCAACGTGAGCCTCGGAGGGTCTGGGGGCTCGTTCAGGCCTGCGAGCCTGCTCTCGCCTGGGAGAATGCTGCTCCGGCAAGTCAGCCTGGATCTGCCTGGAGGCCTGGTTGGGCTGGAGAGCCTGCCTCTGCCTGGGCCGGCTCTCTGAGATCGTCTCGTATTGCAGGGCCTGCGCTCCCTGCTGTAGGTCTGGCGTGGGGAGGACGCCAAACACGGCCTCCTCGTACGACGGGGGCAGCTGAGTGTGCGTGCGTGCATCAGAGATCGTGCGTGTGTGTGTGTGTACACAGTAAAGTTAGGGGACGTGTGTGTGTGTTTGTGTGCAAGTGTGCATGTGCGAGGGTGCACACGTACAAAAGTGAAAGTGCGCAATACAGTTTTTTTGGGTTGGATCGCGTAAATATATAAATGTGTCATTAAACCCCCCACCACTCAACACAGCCAATTAGTAAGGGTTGTCACGTAAACGGAATGTGGCCAATTCGTCACTAGTACAGCATACCGGTGTGTTTAACACGTCGCGAAAGCCTACGTGTTAAACTGCATGTGTGTGTCAGAGCATGTACGTGTTTGAGCGTGCAAGTTATGGGGGACACGCGTACCCATGTGTACATCGAGAGTACTGGATGTGGACAGGTTATGTGATTTTCAACACAGCGCAAAACATTTGAAGAAATGTTTTTTTATTGAAAGTACTTTTCTGCCAAATCATTACATGGAAAAATAGTTCCATCAGACAACAAAAATTATAATGAATTGGCTATTTTCCACCAAATATTGCCAGAAAATGCCTTTCCACAAATACATGAATTGGGCCATGTTCTTAAAGGCAACATTTTACGATTTTTTCAAATTGCACTTTTCATTAAAATGTTTAATTAGCACTTCATAAAAAAGCTACGTATGTTTTCAGTTTGTGCATTAAGATGCAATGAACATACAGTATTGTACTTGGTGCTCAATTTTCAATCCGAATCATCTTCAGAGAAGCCCAGGCTGAGTTTAGATTACAATAGACACTCATGTTGTGCATGACTTGGAATTCAACGTAAATTTCCACAGTTGCAGTGCTGCATGCGAGTCATTATTCCGTCACTGCACACAAACACACATCCCACTCACTTCAAAAGGTGCGTAAAATCCTTCGTAGTCTTCTCTCGAGTAGTATGTTTGAAAGTCTGATAAGTCAGGTGTGTCCGAGTTCCTACACAGACACGTGCACGCACACCCATCGACGTGCAAAAACATTCATAAATACGAACGCACACACACACTCATTCACACATCCATATATACACAATAGTAAGTACGTGCACGCAGACACAGAATTATTAGACACGTGTCCAAGCAAGGCTCTGTCAAGAAAACACGTAATACTCTGAATTTAAAGGTCACAAATTTAAATTTTGGTATGGGATCAATTCAACGAATCATCACTTTTGGATCAAGAAAGTCAGAACCAGTTTTTTTTTAACAAACCAGGGTCAAGCTATGAAAACCCCAGGCACTAGTAGCAGTGACCACCCAAGTTACTATTTTGATCAAGGGTAATTGTTGCTTTGACACATGCTGGCACTCACCTGTGAGGCGGGTGTGGGCGCCTTTCTGCAGGCGAGGGAGCTCTATTTGACGTGCCTAGAGGGAGAGACGACCACATACAAACCTTTTCATGGCACCGTCTCCTGAGAATGTGGCCAACTCCTTCATAAAGGTTTTCATTTGTATTGCCTCTTACAGGTATCAGCACCACATTTCCCTGCACGTGAGTGTCTTGCACAGATTTCATCCCAACGCAATCCGCCAACCCAGTCTCCGAGCCACCGCGTTTTAGGTGAGGCACAGCGTGGCCGCCACAGCAGCAGACATGAAAAAACGTGGGCGAGTGAGCACGTGTGTAGGTGGGACACCATGCGACACTTATGGAGGTCACGAGAGATTGGCGATCTTACTTCTCTTCAGAGCCGCTCGGAGGGATGACAGTGGTCCACTGCTTAAACAAAACAAATGACACAACATTGGAATCTAACAAAATTATCATTTTCATAGACATGTTGGAAAAACATGACATTTTTGTGTGTGCTTATCGGTCTACGTGTGTACACGCACATCTATACTGCAAAGGACCTGAATAAATATTGCACTGACCAAGCAAGCGTATCCACATTAAAACATCTACCCTGGGAAACACTGCTACTCTAAGGCACACACACTAATTCCCACTACCATTCTAAGATGCTCTCAATCACACTCCCACGAAGATACAGAGGACGTGCTTGGCATTGAACAATAAATATGAGACAGCTCAGGGGTGAACTCAGATAAGGTGGCAGTTATCATTGAGGAACTTTCTGTTTTGATAATAATAGAAAAAGCACAAGGGACACTCCACTGTAGTCAACTCCAAAGTGCCAGTGCATTTGACTTTGCCTTTATAATTCCTGTGAATGGGAGAAAGAAAACTAGCCCTCGGGCTCAACCCAGCGTCTCTGTGATGGAAGGATCGGTGATGGTAATGGTCATTCAGAATATCGCACATCCATTATAAATCTGTCCCTCAGATGTACATTTTCAGTGATCATTGAATAAAATCAATTACCCAGGAAAACCTCAGCAAGTCTTGGTGCCTTATTTCCAATGGTGCTGTGTGCATCTTGTCAAAAATAAATTATCATTGCGAACTTTCGCAGCAGGCAGTACACACACTACCTTTATACTCTTAGTTCTTTCGGCAAAGTCACGTAGGTAAAAAATGAAATTAAAATTAATAAAAATAAAACAATAAAAATCACGACGTTTCGGAGGCAACACAAGCTTCTGTCTTCAGGTGAAACCGTCACGGCTAAATATCTGTACCTTATATAGTGGTTAAGGGGGGGGGGCAGGAAGGGCAGCGGGGGAGGAGGAGTTGTGAAGTGGTCAATTACTGCTTTTGTTATACTGCTGGGTGGGTAAATGAATTAGATACGATTAAGCCGCTCTTTGTTATGCTGTTTGTGCGCAAGTCACTGTGAGATGAATGGACTCGTGGTCAGGGACGTGTTGCGCAAGTAACTGTGGATGTACATAATAGAAAAGGAGCAGAGATGCCCATGTTTATACCAGTGTTGGCTGGCAATAAAGAGTACTGTTAAACGTTAGGGATGTTAACACTAGGTGAAGTAAAATAGTGCCTGTCAGATAAGATGGTCCAAAAATGTGTAATTAAATATTTTTTGCATGGTTGATAACATCTTTCCAATGATTACTAAGTTTGTACCCATCATCACGGTTGAAATTATGTCTGTGTTTGTATATCTGAATGGCTTCGTGTACAAACCTTTGATGGTAGCCAGAAGGCTTGCAGAGCACCTTAGTCTCAGAGAAAACAATCTCATGAGAGCCCACCGAGTTGTAGCAATGATCGGCAACGGCGGAAGACTCAATTTTGCCGTGTTTCAAATCTGACTTGTGTTCGAGAATGGCCTTTGAGGATATCATTGCAACTCTTTAAAATATCCCTTCAATAGCTTTTTATAATCCAGATCGGGGTACATATCTTATATATTCCCTGCAAAGAAAGTTATTGGCATGCTAATAAAACCAAGTCTTAAAATTCCCAAAACTTGAATATGTAGAGTTAATTTGTTTTAGCAACTGGTGACAAGACTGAGATGATCAACTTTCTACGCTTGAGAATCCACTGGTGGCTACTCGAAGTTTAGCACAGGATATTAGGAGCATTCTGCTTTTTACTATTAAAGTGGAATGCCCAGAGAAATGTTAAACCAAAGTGCACATATATGCATGTGTGCCTATCCGTGCGTGTGTCGGCGAGTGATAGTTTTGTATGTGGGTACATGCATGTGTCTGTGTGTGTCAGCCATTGTGGGCGAGTGGGTAGTGTAGCAGCTAGCGTGCTACAATACAAACTCGGCCACCCGAGTTCGATTACTGCTCACGCCAACAGCAGTGAAGATAAGCTGAACCGATTCTGGGCCTCCTCTAGGTCGACTCAGCCTCAAAATGGGTACCTGGTACAACGTGTAAATGTCGCCACGAAGGAGACAAAGGCGGCCGGGGGTGATGGTAGCCACCAACCCCCCCTCATGTGCCATGCCGGCTTCTTCATAGTTGCTCACTAACAGCACTTGCCCCAACAGTTTGTTTAGTCTAAACAGGGGATCTATGTCTTAGTTGTTTCAGTTCGTCTCAGTAAGTTAATCCCCAACCCCTGTGCCTGCTCCTGTGACTTCCTCCCAGCGAGCCTTAGCCAGTTCACGTGGTCTCAAAGCACTTCAAGCCTGGCACAAACGCCGTGGTAACATCACTGCCACTCTTTGGCAAATCACCATTGTTGTGTGTACACATGCAAAGGTGCTCCCGTGCGTCTGCACAAAGTGTCTTCAATGCCACACACAAAGCCCCCAGTGTCTGCTCGTTGTGCATGTGTCCACTGCCACAAAAGCTCAATGATAACATTGACACTGGCCAACGTATCCGGCCGCTGCGGGGCTGAAGGTCGCCCTCTGTTTAACTACCGACTCCCTCCGCCGGTTCAGTCGCCACCGCTCACTGCCCTCTCCTCATGGCTAGCAGACCTCGACATTAGCTCCTGAACATAATGCCACCCGCAACAGAGAAATTTAAAAAGAGCATCTTAGCTCAATGGGCGTTACCCAGAATAAATTGACAGACTGAATTTTAGGATGAAGTTAAATGATCAAAACTAAAGTCTCTACCTCCTTGTCCTCCATCCCCTCCCTCTGTACAAGTCGGGCCTGTGTGTGGAAGTTTTACCTGGATGGCCTCGTGTTTTGATTCACATCTCGCTCCGCATCTGTGAAAGGAAACACAGTGAAGGGTCAGCATGAGGAGACGCCTTTCGCACCTTTAAATACGCGAGAGTTGCAGTAGTATTACTCTCCTGGAGAGGAGACCTGGTGTAATAACGTCCTTCCTTTATTTACCAACACAAGAACAGACACGCTCACACTAAGGCTCAAAGTTTGTAGGTATTCAGTAACAAAACAAACCTTGGAACCTCCTTTGCCAGTAGCAAAATATGATAATTGGGGTTTTTACCCTTTTATCTGGAAACAAAACTGACGCTTTTTTTTGCGCCTTTTGGCGTCATCTGGTCCAACACCATATGAGACTAGGCTCTAAGAAAAGCTGTCTCGGGTGTGGACCGATCAATTTCAAGGACAGTGCATACATTATCAGAGTTGTGTTTTTTGTTTGCATTCCGACCGCAGGTATTGTGGTCAATGCAAACATGACTCCTTGTAAAAAAGGTGTCAGTTTTGTTGGCAGATAAAAGGGAAAAAAACCCAATTAAAACAAACCTTCCCATTATTCTGTAAAGAACAAAAAACATGCCACGATTCCTAATGAAATAAACAAATTACTTTATTTAAAAAAAATCTGCATTTTAATATTTCCCGCAACAAATTTGTAAAGAGCTGAAAATTATCATGATATAATAACGCCATGGGTTGGAACATTTCGGAACTGTTAAACAACTTGGAAATGTAAGTTATGTGGCAAGAAAAAGGTGTGGACTTTACTAGGAAGAGAAGGGTGAGTCCATGTCTATGACAGGTTATTTGGCACCATCTTAAGTTACCAAGTAAAATGATCACTCGTGATTTTGTCCGATGAACTTTCTGAAACGGCAGCAGCTGAATTCGGTTAGGGGCTATAATAATCCCTGTTTGCAACGTCAATATTTATGCTGTTAACGTTCATATTTTTGGTAGTTCGTTGTTTAAATCACATTCTAGTCACATGGCCATTACCAAAAATGGTAATAGTCCCAAAAATAATTAAAAGTATTTTCTTTAAAAAAAGAGTCAGTTTTATTAAACTCTTTAAGCAGTGTTCTAGTTGGCATTGTTCGGATTTTTTTGGCATTTTTTTTTCACCGTGGGAGGAAACCAGAGGGCCTGAAAACAATATTGGCCAAGAGCATAAAACTCACGGCACATGTTGGCAGCTTTGATAAGTCCTGGCTCAATGTGTTGGCTTTATTTTTATGAACCCAATGGATTATAAAAAAAATTACTCAAAAATCCGAGAATCCCAGAAGGAGAAACGTTTTCGGTCTAGTCCAGTCGTACTCAAGTTTTCTGGAATTGTCGACCATCTCCCATTTTTTTGGCAGATCACCGTACCCAAATAATATGTTTGTCGAAATAAAACTGCTCTAAAAGTACTGTAGAATGTATGGTTAAGATAGTTAATGTAGCATTTAAATGTGTGGTTCTTTGTGAAAAACTATTGTGGCATCTGCAACAATTACGCAGACCACTTCGCATGATCTTGTGGACCAAATGGGATTCAAGCCTTTACAGCCTGTGGTCCGGAGCACAGAATTATGGTTAGACAGCACTCACAATCCGCGTGACAGCACACGCCAAGCGCTGCAGTTTCAATTCCAACCACATGCAAACCACCCATTGGCAAAACATTCCAAGGGAGTACCCACCAGAGGAATAGTCTCTGGACTCAATTAAGCATTCCACAATTAACATAACTCAAGATGGGATAGATTCGAAACTTGAAAATGTATTATAGTCAAGATTTTCGATAAACATGAGACATCTCCATTACCAAATGGGCAAATATTAAAAACACTATCACCGTTTTCATTACGACGGGACTCTGGCCCCTTACACTTTGTTATTAAATGGCTACTGTTTCTATATTATGCTTGTTAAGCAAGTAATTCGTTCATTTCCCCTCCCCCCCCAAAGCATCTATAAATGTCACAAATCAGTCATGATTCAAGTCAAGGATTGATTAATATTTGTTTTGTGTTTTGGACAATGTATTGTTTTTTTTAAGTATCCTTTATATTGCTCTGTTGTTGTTCCGTACACACTTCCATATTCTTGCGTAGTGTAAACAATTATTTCGCACCTGCACAACTGAACCGCATGATACCATAAGCAGAAAATGTTATTGTAATTTATGAATCAATACTTGTTTGCATGCCTGATATATCTGAACACAGATGATCTCTTCTTGGTAAACTAAGTTTGTTTATGTTTGTGACCCTTGATATAAAAAGCCTGCTGCTTCTTCTTTTGCATGACCAAATTAAGAGCATCCACCAGATACTCAGTTATAAGGTGATTTAGCCATTCAATTACTTTGCTTAAGAGTTGGTGTATTGCTGATACACTGCATTCGAATTTATAGTTTGGGCAGGGCAAACTTTACGGTGCAAAGTTTGGTGTACTCAAAACAGGGTGGCACCATTTGCACGACGATTATTTAAAATCACGCAGAAATATTCTGGCTCAAGCGCCTCAGCACAAAACATCTTGAAAAACTGGGTCGACCTGGTGTACGTGAAATGTCAGGAATGTCTTCGTTACCAAATATAACTCTGGAAACCAATGACGCTCTTCCTTAGATGTAGCTTTTAAAAACAAATATCCCGTGCACGTAACTATACTAATCAAACTTTAATTATTAATAGATCCCGGCTGTAAATGTAAAACATTCAGCCCCTAAACCTTCCCTTCACCCCATCAGCCTCTGCCAAACAACACGCACAGAACCCCTAATCTCATCCCATTCAGAACCTCTCATCTCATCCCATACAGAACCTCTCATCTCATCCCATACAGAACCTCTAATCTCATCCCATACAGAACCCCTCATCTCATCCCATACAGAACCCCTCATCTCATCCCATACAGAACCCCTAATCTCATCCCATACAGAACCCCTCATCTCATCCCATACAAAACCTCTCATCTCATCCCATACAGAACCCCTCATCTCATCCCATACAGAACCCCTTATCTCATCCCATACAGAACCCCTCATCTCATCCCATACAGAAACCCTCGTCTCATCCCATATAGAACCCCTAATCTCATCCCATAGAGAACCCCTAATCTCATCCCATACAGAACCTCTCATCTCATCCCATACAGAACCCCTCATCTCATCCCATACAGAACCCCTAATCTCATCCCATAGAGAACCTCTCATCTCATCCCATACAGAACCCCTCATCTCATCCCATACAGAACCCCTAATCTCATCCCATAGAGAACCTCTCATCTCATCCCATACAGAAACCCTCATCCCATACAGAACCTCTCATCTCATCCCATACAGAAACCCTCATCCCATACAGAAACTCTCATCTCATCCCATATAGAACCCCTAGTTCCATCCAATAGAGAACCCTTGCCTCAGCCAATACAAAACCCCCGTCTCTTCCAATACAGAACCCGTGTTTATTTTACCATCCAATACAGTTGTGTAAGCTTATAGACTAGCAGCAGCATTAGAAATACTCTCTAATGTACTCACAACACACTCACACTTGTACGTTCACACTTAACAATACAAAAGTATCATTCTTTACCTGAACACATCTGTAAACACTCAACTGCAGCATGAACACACTGTACAACCAAATCTACAAAACCCAACACCTGCCTATAAGCGCCCGTAAAAAACTCCTCTTTTACACCAAAGACGATTGTACAAAACTGTGCAACACAAATATACACCACAAACGTATCAAGATACACCTACAAACACATACTGTACATTCCACTAAACGCACATGGAAACAACAACAACAACACACCAATACACAACGTACAGTCTGTACACATCTCTGTACACAAACCCTGTACAACACATCCATCAGACCACTGTCATCAACACCATGCTCTATTCACTGATGGATGAATGCCCCCGCAAACTGTCACGGTTACGCAGTATCACAATCCATTTCGCTCCTGCACGCAAGGTAATCAATCCCATGGTTCAATGCTAACGATGTACGACTTCTCAGGCATGTTACCACCTTTGGCTGCTGCTCCTTCCTTAGTCTCAACCATTGGCATTCGCCTGTCTCTTCTAGCAGTGTCTTGCCTAAAAAACACATTTGTATTCGTATTGTAGTCAATAGTGTGGCGTCTCTGACTCGTACAGCTTGTCCTCTCATCCAAGTTCCTCGTTCTCTCCTTGTTCTCCAAGCACGCACTCACACCGATTAAACTTTATTGACACTATCGAATTAAACGTCGCAAACTTAAGTCAGTTAGTGTACATCTTCAACACACACCCATTTCTAAATGTAAACATAATACAGCTACGGACATAGAATATATTCAGAAATGTAAAAGACGTATTTAGCTGCCATGCCGAATGGACTTCATGATGGGCTGGGATGACCTCTGATTAAGATATCATCAATGCAGACAACTGTGCATCAGTATCATTACAGCATGCTGGGGGAGTAATGCTGCATCGATGAGTCGAATGAAATCCATTCAAAGACACACAAAATACGAGGAAAGAGTCGAAATCGATGGGTTTTTTTTTCAATTTACTCCATGCTAATCATACCACACACCCTGGTAGCTGGGTGGCAGTGAGAGGCTCTGCAGTCGGAAGGTTGCAAGTTCAAATCTTGTTTGGGGGCTCAACCTATTATCCCTCTGGGGTCGATAAAATAGAGTACCCAGTTTGTGGGGACGTCAAAAGTGATCGTCTTATGGGATAGACTTGCCCTCGCCATAGGAACGAGGGATTTCTGCCGCTGGCTCAGCGCTGTAAACTGGAGATGAACACCACCTGACAATGGCCATTTTATTGAATACGAACGCTCAAGTAACGTTCCATTCATGCTGGAGAAAGAAGACAAAAATAACGAGCTCGCGAGGCACTAAAAACTCACAAAATAAATAACCGAGTGAAACCGCGGCCATGAATAACACCACGAATCATCGAATCGATAAAGGTGACTTCATCACACCATTACGATGGGAACGTTTAAATGTTTACACACCACTATACAAGCACAAGTCCTACATACAGTACTCAAGCGTTCACATCATTGTGCAGAACCGATACAACTCTACAAGGTGCTCGCAGAACTGCATTGGCTTCTGATTGCTGCACGAATACATTATGAGGTCGCACTCGTGTTCATACCTGTCAACCCATACGGTGTATCTGTGTTCTTGAACAGGCACATTTAGTTTTCAGGTCCATACGGCATAGAGTCGTTTCAATACGGGTAACATTTTTTTTGTCTTTGTGTTTCTCCCTTGTGATGGGACTTTGTAGAATGAACGTTGATATTTCTAAGGGCACGGGGTGACCAATAAGGTCTGAATTGGGCTGTAAAAAGGTAGGCACTGATAAGGGGTTGACAGGTATGCATTATATACAAAATGCTTGCCACAAATTAACCAAAATACCTTGCTGATGTCGTCAATAAGCATATACCACCAAAAAAAATCCGGTCATCCTCGCAGCGGATTTTGGCTGGCCATCAAACAAAGACGGTCACTGCATCGCTTGCTTTCAGATGCGCTTCTGCGACCATCTGGAGCGCTGTTCCTTCCGATATTAGTAAGCCACTGGATCTATATGCACTTATAAATCTAGATTGAAAACGAATTTGTTTAGTAACTGCTTTTTTGTGTTTAAGTTTGTTGTCCTTCCCCCGCACCTCTGATTTGCACGGTCGGCTTCGTACCGATGTGAAATAATTTCAACATTCAGTGCCCATACATCTGAACACACCTAAACATACCTGTAATTACCAAGGTGACTCATCAAACCAATAAATACCGGTATATACCTTCAACACACACACGTACAAAACGTAATTCACCAGTACACAGCTCTATATACACCTGTACTTTATATATCAATATACATCTGCCACACACCTGTATCTACACCATTGTACATCTACTTGTACACACAAGTGTAGATATCTATATACTGTACACCTGTTCACACACCCCTGTGTACATGTACAGAGCAGATATTGGGAATAGCGTCTTGATAACACTCATTTCCAATGGTTATCACATAACTCACTGAAATTGGCCACATTTAGAAATTGGAACCACTAAAGTAATGCTACCTCTGATGGAACAAAAAGTTAAAGATCTGGTCCGGGCTCAGACTACTCCTAGCTTCTAAGATCTGACAATCCGGCACATTTATGATGACAGGGCGCACACACAAACATAAATATACATCAACATCCCTCTGTACAGGAATGTGTACAAACTTAATTTAATATTAATAACTTATTAAATACACCTGTACACACAGTCGACAAACCTGTACACACAGGTATGGACACACTTGTTCAGACACACCTGCATAAACACCCCTGTACACGCACACCTGTACACAAAGACCACCCGTATAGCATTAACAGACTGTAGGGGCAAGTGCTGTTAGCAAACATCTATGAAGGCCGAAACGGTACATGACGGGGTAGGTGGCCAAAACCACACCCGACCGCCTTTGTATCCCCAGTGGCCATGTTTACACACCGCACCTGGTACTCATTTGAGGCTGAGTAGACCTAGGGGATGCCCAGGACCGGTTCAGATAATTGTCACTGGTGTTGGCTGGAAGCGGGAATCAAACCCGGATCGCCAGGGTTCATAGCACAACGCGCTAACCACTACACTACCGCTCCCCACACACCTGTACACGCACACCTGCACAGGTACACCTGTGTGAGCACGAAACACCTGTAGACACCTACACACACCTGTACAGGCACACCTGTAGAGACATACCTACACACCTGTACACGCACACCTGTGAGTAGGTCTATCTGTACGGACATACCTGTGTAACCACGTACACACATCTACACACACCTGTACACGCCACCTGTGAGATCTACCTGTACTGACATACCTGTGTAACCAGGTACACACACCTGTACAGGCACACCTGTGAGCAGGTCTTCCTGTGTAACCAGGTACACACACCTGTACAGGCACACCTGTAGAAACACACCTACACACACCTGTACAGGCACACCTGTAGAGACATACCTACACACCTGAACACGCACACCTGTGAGCAGGTCTTCCTGTACGGACATACCTGAGTAACCACGTACACACACCTGTACACGCCACCTGTGAGGTCTTCCTGTACTGACATACCTATGTAACCAGGTACACACACCTGTACAGGCACACCTGTAGAGACACCTACACACACCTGTACAGGCACACCTACACACCTGTACACGCATACCTGTGAGCAGGTCTACCGGTGTAACCAGGTACACACACCTACACATACCTGTGCAGGCACACCTGTGAGCAGGTCTACCTGTGTAACCAGGTACACACACCTACACACACCTGTACAGGCACACCTACACACCTGTACACGCACACCTGTGAGCAGGTCTACCTGTGTAACCAGGTACACACACCTACACACACCTGTACAGGCACACCTGTGAGCAGGACTACCTGTGTAACCAGGTACACACACCTACACACCTGTACAGGCACACCTACACATACCTGTGCAGGCACACCTGTGAGCAGGTCTACCTGTGTAATCAGGTACACACAGCTACACACACCTGTACAGACACACCTACACACACCTGTACAGGCACACCTACACACACCTGTACAGGCACACCTACACACACCTGTACAGGCACACCTGTAAGCAGGTCTACCTGTGTAACCAGGTACACACACCTACACACCCCTGTACAGGCACACCTGTAGAGACACACCTACACACACCTGTACAGGCACACCTACACACACCTGTACAGGCACACCTGTAGAAACACACCTACAAACACCTGTACAGGCACACCTGTAGAAACACACCTACACACACCTGTAGAAGCACACCTGTGAGCAGGTCTGCCTGTGTAACCAGGTACACACACCTGCACACACACGCGAAACCTGTATAAAACGCACACCTACAGCCCCCCACCCACGGGCCCTTTAACCGCACTACTTCCCACCCCCACCCCAGAACATTAAAACAATGGGGGGGTGGGGGAAGGGGTGAAGAAGGGGGTAAACAAAAAAAAGAGTCCTCGAGTTAAAGCGCTCTTCTCTAATCGCGTCGCGTCCGCCGCCGACTTCCTTCCCGCGGAAGCGGACTCGCCCCGAGCTCACCGCGGGAGTGCTGCTGCTGCTGCTGCCCGCGCTGACCGCGGCTGTCGGGCCGCGGAGGGCGGGCGCGGCGCCTCCGCTCGGAAGCACCGAGGGCTGCGTCCCGCCTCTCCGCCATTTCTATTGGAATTCGACGCGAGCGGCGCCGCGCGCGTTTGACGTCACGCGGCCCTCGTCCAATCGCGAAGCCGCGTTCGGGGTTACGTCGTGACGTCACGCGCCGGATTGTTGCAACGATTCCTCCTCCTCCCCCCCCCCGCTTCACTGTCTCCGTCTGTTGCGGGTGTTGTGACGTTATCCGTTGCGGGTGTTGTGACGTCATCCGTTGCGGGTGGTTGTGACGTCATCGCGGCTACGCGTTGTTGGCTGGGTTCGAGCGGCGTGACGTCATGGTGTGGAATTACGAGGTCGTGCGTGGGTGTGTTTTGTGTTGTTATTTATTATTTTATTTCTATTATTATTATTTATATTATTTTTATTGATTATTTTTACCTACGTGACTTTAGAGAAAAAAACCGAAGAGTTTGTTGTTAAACCGTTACCTGGAGGAATCCGATGAGCTGCAAAGCTCTTTGCACAGATGTCCAGTCGGGACCGGTCAGAACATTACGACAACAAATAATACAAAACAACAAGAGCGCACAGAATAGGAAAAGTAAACAAATCACTTAAAAATAACTTCACGCACAAATAAAACGATATATATCATGGGACCTCCTTTGCCAGTACCAAAATATGAGAATATGTTTTCCCATTTTTTCTGGCAACAAAACAGGTGTTAAGATGTTAAAACAATAAACTGAAACCCTTTACAAGGAATCATGTCTGCATTAACCACAATATTTGTGGTCAAATGCAAATAAAAAAACATACTCTGATAAGAAATGCATTCTTTGAAACTGATTGGTCCACACCAGAGACAGTTTTATTTAGAGCCTCGTCTCAAAAGGTGTTAGAACAGAGGACCGCAAAAGGCGTACACAGCACAATAACAATGCACTATCAGAGTAATGAGAGCTCGGGTTGAGCATCTACATCATGGGACCTCCTTTGCCAGCACCAAATATATGAGAAAAGGTTTTCCCCTTTTTTCTGGCAACAAAACAGGTCTTCAGATGTTAATACACCAAACTGAAACCTTTTACAAGGAATCATGTATGCATTAACCACAATACTTGTGGTCAAAATGCAAACAAAAAACACTCCACACAGCTCTCTCATTGACATGCAAATTTCTCTGTTCCAGCAGCCCCACCTCTCTCTCTGTGCATCTATGCTGTGTCTCTCTCTGCTTGTGTGCCTGTCTGTGTGTCTCCGTGTCTGTGTTTTGTCTCTCTTTGGTTCTTTCGGTAAAGTCACGTAGAAAGAAAAATAAATTAAATAATAGCATACGACGTTTCGATTGCAACACAATCAATCATCGTCAGGTACGAATGAAAGAGAAAACAAACCTAGAAAAACTTCGAAATATAATGAAATACAACACAGAGAGTCGGCTAATATAACAGTCAACACCCTACCTGGTTGATTACGTTCTTCCAAAGATTGCTAAATTTGAGAAAAAGACAAAACACAGACACGCAGACACATAGACAGACACATAAGCAGAGAGAGATAACACAGAGACACACAGAGAGACGCATAGGCACACAGAGAAACAACGCCTCTGTGTCGAGGCCTTAAATACACTTTATTTTTACTTTTAAACAACTTTCATTGCCGCCAGCAGCAACAGCACTGGAGGTGATTCCAATACGAAACACACAAAGTCACCAACAAACAAATAAACAAACACGATTCATCCACGCGCTGTGGCTCTAAATGCGCCGCGCACGACACAAAATAAAAGCCACGTTCTAGATTTTAAGCTTTCGTGACTGCAATGATTCATATTCTTAGGTTTTTTCGGTAAAGTCACGTAGGTAAAAACATTAAAAAGTAAAATAAAATAAAAATCACGACGTTTCGGAGGCAACACAAGCTTCCGTCTTCAGGTGGTACCGTCACAGCCACGACAGCTGTATCAAGTAAATGAGATTGCAGGAGCTACCACTCCGTTTATATAATGGTTGGAGAAGGTGGTGGAGGAAAAGGGCCGCATACTTATTATTAATATGGTAAGGTGAGGCTTAAGACTAAGAATAGACTGCATAACAAAGGCTCAGCCTTTGTTATGCAGTCTATTAATAAAAAGTATGCGGCCCTTGCCCCACCACCTTCTCCAACCATTATATAAACGGAGTGGTAGCTCCTGCAATCTCTCATTTACTTGATACAGCTGTCGTGGCTGTGACGGTACCACCTGAAGACGGAAGCTTGTGTTGCCTCCGAAACGTCGTGATTTTTATTTTATTTTACTTTTTAATGTTTTTACCTAAGAATATAAAAGCCACGTGGTGGTGATGGTGGTCATCGCGCGCGCCACGGCGACGAGCGCTTCAGGAGGTGACCACGTGGGTGCCGTCCACGCTGGCACAGAGAGGGGCTTGTCTCCCGCCCCCCCACAGCGTTCGAGGAAGACGAGCACATCGCGTGCGAGAGAGGCAGGGAGCGTGCAATGGAGAGACTTTGACTTTTTAAACAACTTTTATTGCCGCCAGCAGCAACAGCAGCACTGGAGGCGATTCCGATACGAAATACATAGTCACCAGCAAACAAATAAACAAACGCGCCTTAAATACAGAGAGGGGGGCAGTAGAGAAATTAGCATGTCAATGAGAGATTTGGAGCTTTTGTGATTGCAGGAAATACTAGAGCGACAACACAAGGACACACAGAGAAAGAGAGATAAAACACACTTCATCAAACAAACTTAGTAAAATTTGGAAATGCAATGCAACACAGAGAGTCGGTCAACACACAATTAACGCATAGCCTGGTTGATTACGTTCTTCCAAAGATTGCTAAATTAGAAAAGTGTGACATTTGAGAGAGAGACACGACACGGAAACAGAAAGAGAGACACACAAGCAGAAAGAGAGACAAGACAGAGACACAGAGAGAGATAAAACACACTTAATCAATCAAACTGTCTGTTTCTAAGTGACTTTACCGAAAGAACCAAAGAGTAATTCCTGCAGTCACGAAAGCTCCAAATCAAGTTTTGTCTCTAAAATTTAGTTCTACCTGATGAAGATTGCTTGTGTTGCAATCGACACGTATTATATTAAATACATTTTCTTTCTACGTGACTTTACCGAAAGAACCAAACAATACTCTGATAATATATGCAGGGGCGGTTTCTTCATTAGGGCGATTGGGCGACGCACCACCAAAGTGTGAAAGGGACTTTTTCAATCACATTAACATTCAACCACAGAGTCACGCTAGCCGTTACTGTGCCTCTGGATATAGTCCAATCAGCGTCATGTCACATTCTGTGGAGTACCGCCTCTTTTTGGGCGATTTCACTCTGGCTGAGAATCGCCCAGAGTGTTCCCATAGACTTACATTCAAAGATGTTTTTTTTCGAACGGGGGGCGCTCCAATGCATTCTCTATGGCTTCCGAGAGGGCTCGCACTAACGTGCTTACGTCATCATACGTAAGCACGTTTCAGTCAACAATATAATTTGTCGCCACCTAGTGGAATCTTTAATAAAAGAAACTGAGTTGATTGAAAATACATTTACTGGTTAAAAACCCTTGTCAAACTCCATTTGAGCTTGAATTTTGGTAAAATGTTAATTAACGTAATAACACACACACAAATCATCGCTGTCGGACGGAAGCCTTGTATGTCCAAAACTGTTACTTTTCAGGAAACGAAAGAAAACCTGTTTTTTCCCCAAAATAATTTACAAGCTCTTTTAATGCTTTTCATTGGTTAAATATTTGTAAAACACATTGACAGATGTAAAGGGTGACCAATAGCATTAATTTTTGAAAAAATATGGAGATATAAAATGTGGATTCTGCCTGATACATTGTTGCTGTCGGGATAGAAACCTTGTATCTCAATATTTATATTATAATAAATAATTTATTTTATAACTAAAATAAATGTATTTATTTTGTCAGGTCTGCGACACAATCTTCGTCCACACCAAAGAAAGGTTCTCCTTTACCGACCACCTTGTAAGTGCCTCGCTGCTACAAGGAGAGATGTTTCAACAGCATGGCTATACATTCCCTGTTGAGGCTCTGAACATCACTGTCAGGGCATACCCTATGTTAACTAAGGCGAAGCTGAAGACTGAACTGTCTCTCATTTATGAGAGTCCAGAATTCAAGGGCTGCTTTGGTGCACGAGTGCTGTACCAGGTTTTGCTGAAGTACAACCTCCAGGATACTTTTCCAGAGACTGTTGCTCTGTTGAACATCCTCACAACCACTCCCATGACAACTGCTGAAGCTGAGAGGTGTTTCTCAACCTTAAAGAAAATCAAGACATTCCTGAGAAATGTAATGGGACAGGAACGTCTGAATGCACTGGCTATGCTTTCCATGGAGAGGGAACTAGTCAGGAACATGCCTGCTTTCAATGAGAGAGTAATTGATCACTTTGCTACTTTGAAAGAGAGAAGAGCAAAATTTCAGTATAAGTAAGCAGTGTATTACGCGAGTAATGTGATGTAAGCAGTGTAATAATAGTGAGTATAGAAACAAACAAGATGTATTGTAAGAGTTACTTTATTTTTCATTAATATTAAAGAAGTGAAGTTGCCTTTACATGCTTAAGCTGTTAATTTATCCATTGCATGGGTGGACCTTATCCTTATCAATCATCCAAACATTTGCCCCCCCTGAGAGATTTTGCAGGAGCCGCCACTGAATATATGTATTGTCTTTAAAACTGATTTGTCCACACCAGAGACAGCTTTCTTTTGAGCCTCGTCTCAAACGGTGTTAGACCAGAGGACACCAAAAGGCGAACAGCACAAAGACAACGCACTATCAGAGTAATGAGAGCTCATTCGGTGGTTAATGTTGTCGTGTGGAGATTAAAAAAGAGTATTTTTGTTCGTGGTAAATGCTGTCGCGTGGAGGTTAAAAAAAATTTGTTCGTGGTAAATGTCGTGGGGAGGTAATAAAAAAACTATTATTTTCGTTCATGGTAAATGTTGTCATTGTGAGGATAAAAAAAACTTCTTATTTTTGTTCATGGTAAATGTTGTCGTGTGATGGTAAAAAAAACATTTCTTATTTTTGTTCATGGCAAATGTTATGTGGGGGTAAAAAAAAACATTTATTATTTTTGTTCATGGCAAATGTTATGTGGGGGTAAAAAAAACTATTATTTTTGTTCATGGCAAATGTTGTCGTGTGGGGGTAAAAAAAACTATTATTTTTGTTCATGGTAAATGTCGTGTGGGGGTAAAAAAAAAACCTTTTCTTATTTTTGTTCATGCCAAATGTTGTCGTGTGAAGGTAAAAAAACACCCTCTGCTCTGACAAGGGGGGCCGCGCGCACTGCACGCCGGGCCACCCGCAATCCAACATGGCGCTCCCCATACGGCGTGGTAAGCGCAGGTCGCGAGTTCACAGTAAGCGGCTGAATCCATCCACGACTTGCGGGGATTCCCTCCCTCTCACAGTGTTCATTACCCCCCCACCACCCCGTGTGTGTGTGTGGCTTCTCTCTTGCAGGTCTGGACGCCTTGGCGAGGCTGGCGACGGCGAGCGGGTGAGTGATGGGGTCACCGCAGGCCGCGCGGGACGTGGATTTGCATTGTGATGTGATGGTCCGAATCGGCCGCTGTGAGCCCGGTGTGGTCCTTAGCTCGGAAAGTAGACATGGTTGAGCCTGGGTAGTAGCGGTCATGTGTAGCGTGGGACCGACACACCAAGTGGTATGGGTCATGCAATCCCCATGGCACCCGCACGGTATGGGAAGGCCTGTATAGCATGCAAATTAGCACCTAACATTGCAACGTTTCTATCGTGCGTTTAATGTAACGCAGTGACGTCGCTCAAGTGCTGCTGGAAGATTTAAATGTCAAGTGTAATGCCAGACCTCTCCTAACAGGATTTGAACTTGCAATCGTCAGTGTGCTTTGTGAAGATGCTGTTTCGTGGAACTTATGTAGTGCTTAATAAACATGTCAGATGTTTACGTCACTGAGAAAGAAATGTACATTTGACAATTTGACTTAAGGTACTACGGCATTTTAAGTTTGCAGCGAGTCGCATCTTTTGGGGACACATTGCCGTATTATTTAGGCATCGGGTACTGAATCGGTACGACTGATATTGGAGGTTCAGCTGCCCCTTATACATCTATATTTAATATACTTGACAATATTGCCCTCAATAAAGTAGGCATCGGTGCATATTACAGCAGAATGAAAACTTGACAGGGGGCATGAAGCAACAGGAATTAAAACAAATAAACTCGTAACTCCCTCAGCGGCTAACACCGACTGAGGCGCGGTAAATTGCAACTACGCGCAAATTGCAAACGTGCACTTTATTTCGAAATGTTTCTTTTTTATAAAGTGCAACCATATACTGTACTGTTGATAGTCACAGCCTGGTTTTCACGTAATGTCGCTTGCTTCAAACACTGCGATTGTAGATGCAATACAGGACTCGACTGTTTTCGCTTTTCCTGCATAAATGAATTGCGTGTGAAAGTGCGCCCCCTGCTGTCTGTTTAGACCCGAAGTTGCACGAGTCCGCGATATCTCTCATTTCAGAATTAAATTAGTTGGGTCGATGCTGTGAGCAGTCGGTGGATGTTGTCTTGTAATCTTGAGTCATATGGTTGTTGTATCACTGCACCACCCAGTCGTATTTAAATCCGCGGGATACAAGCCCATTCGTGACATGATTAGGTCACGAGGTCAAGTGTAAATTTCGATTTAAAGCTTTCGTGACTGCAGGGATTCATCTTCTTGGTTCTTTCGGTAAAGTCACGTAGAAGGGAAGTAATAAAATAATAAAAATAAAACATAATAAAATAAAATAATTCTCACGACGTTTCGGCTACAACGCAAGCAGCCGTCTTCCCTTCTACGTGACTTTACCGAAAGAACCAAGAAGAAGGTCAAGTGTAGTCTTTCATATTGGTACAGGGTTGGGTGGTGGTGACGCGATTAGTGCATTGCGCTACGACCCCAGCGACGTAAGTTGATTCCCGACCACAGCCAGCAATAGTGTCGAATATATGAAGTCGTTTTGGGCTTCCTATAAGTCAATTCAGGCATAATGACGTTTCTGGTGTGGATTGTAGAAGTCATGTGGGCAGGTGTGATGCTAGCAATACCACCGTTTCATGCACCAAACCAGCTTTGATAGGTGCTTGCTAACAGCACTTTCCCCAGCAGGCTGGTAATGTCTAGAGGGGGATCTTTGTGTGTGTCAGTGTGCTGACATCACCATGGAGATGCCTACACGTGGGTGCTGTGCTGTCGAGGCGAAGGAACTGGGAACCGCTGAATCGCGTGGTCTATCCACCCCAGCAGCCCGGGGAGGAGAGGAGGCCGGCAGTAATGCACACACAGCAACGTACACTAATACCCACAAACAGTACACGAACATACTCATACACATACCAGGCATACACGAGTTCATATACACAGCAGTTACATATATATCTACTTGCTTGTAGGAAACAATCAACATACAAGAAATCCCACATGCAGTTATATACACAATACCATACTTGTACATAAAATAATAAACCGATACTAACGCACGGGTACTTACATATATATTAGTGTATGTGTATAGTACACATATACACGACATTTTACATGTAATACACCAACGTAATTTTAAGCACTTTACATACTGATTTTATACCTCCGGATTCCCTCACCTATAATAAAACACAGTACACCTTTACATACATATAAGGTATATACACAATAAAACACACAGTACACTAATATTATAACATGGAATTATACACATTTACTTATACACCAGAACACAATGTACATAATTCTTACAGTATACTCTATAGCAATGCAATACATGGATGCACAAATTAGTGCGTGCACTGGCCTAATGTACTATTACTCAATTATCATAAACTACTATACACACTAATACAGGCAGTCCCGCTTTTACAACACAATGCGTTCCTGGAAACCCCATCGTATATGGGATCATTGTAAATCAGACCCTATTTTCCCATAAACAGTATAAACATCACTTGCCGATGTGTTTTTCCTTTTATCAGCCATATTTAACAGGATTTAATATGTAAATATCTACAAAAACACTTGAGCATAAAAAAAGCTCCATGCTAAATCACATTGGAAACCAGACTGACTGTTCAAATGTGTTTTGTAGTCATGTGGGAAGAAGCATCGTAAATCAAATTTCTGCGTCGCGTTATATTAACGTCGTAAATGTGGATAGTTGTAAATCGTAGATTTGAAGCTTTCGTGACTGCAAGGATTCATAGTCTTATGTGTTTTCGGTAAAGTCACGTAGGTAAAACATTTAAATTAATAAAAGTAAAATAAAATAAAAATCCGAAACGTCGTGATTTTAATTTATTTTACTTTTATTAATTTTAATGTTTTACCTACGTGACTTTACCAAAAACACCTAAGAATATAGTTGTAAATCGGATCGTCGTAAACCAGAGACCACCTGTACACCAACACCATTATACATATCCTCTGTTTAACATACACCCCTACACACAAATGCACATACTACAACAATATACATACACATTAACAAGTGTATATCACAATCACATACACATCAACCTGTGCAGATAGACTCACATTATTCCTTGTGTGTGTCCAGGAGATTTTTCATTGCCACAGGCAGATCAAATACAGCAAAGACAAGATGTGGTACCTGGCAACACTGGTGCGTAGCACTCGCATGGATACACCTACACAGTAATACACATGCACTCTGTTTTCACGGCCAATTCAAATCAGACCCAAGCTGTGCAGGACCTTACCAAGAGCCACCAGCACATCTCATGCATTCTCAGAGTGCAGCTCTTCCACAGGCTCGGCCCCTCCTGCTAGATGGCAGTGAATTTGCATATATGTGTAATGGGTTCCGGAGACACTTGTAGAGGTAACTTCTTTATTTACAGTACCACACTCCAACAGTCCTGATACTCTATTACAGCCTAGGGACACAGCCTACTCTGGCTACGCTCTTGGGTCCAAGGTCCTAAGCTGGCTGGTCTTGGGTGTTGAGCTGCAACTGGCCCCGATGGGCTGGGGAGGTCCCCTTTTATGCCCCTTTGCCCATCGAGGGGAGGCGTTGCGTGGGATCGTGGGATCGTAGATCCCCTGCAACCCCCCCATTGGTGGCGCCGAGGGGATTATCTGTCTGGGGTCACCATCCAGAGGTGGCGTTGCGTGGGATCGTAGATTACCCGCAGCCCCCGCCCTTGGCGGTACGGGGTACCCTTGCAGATGGACCTCGTCTACCACTGCCAGTAAGCGTGGTCCATCTACGGCACTACATGTGTCTGTGACCATGTGTGTATGTAGCCCATGTCTCTAACCCTGAATCTGTTTTTGTGACTGTGTGTCAGATTAAAGGTCTGTCTGTGGATGAAGCCTTAGCTCAGTTGGAATTCAGTGACAAGAAAGGAGCTAAGGTCATGAAGGAGGTGCGTTTTCACAACGTGTCAATATAAATAACATGCATTAATTCATCATTGCATATAGAAATGTTCATTGCATTCGGTTTGTTTAACATGTAGGCTTTCGCGACCAGAATTATTCATAATAAAGATTTTTGGGTTAGATCGCGTTATTTATAAATGTGGTGCAACCCTCCACCACCCGACATGGCCAATCAGTAACAAATGTGTCACGTTGACAAAAGACAAATAGTTCACTACTTTAGCCCACCGGTGTGTTGAAGAGTGGATACACAACATTTACAATTTGAGTGCGACGACGTTTCGCTGGAAATTACATCCAACATCTTCGGGTGATTTGTCAGAATAGTGAAGCCATACACCGGCTTCCGGTCTTAAATAGTGCAGGATGACGTCATCATTGTTGAGCCCCATCAGGATTCGAGATGTGTTATGTATTGCTTAATAATACGCTTCCAGGCTCGCTGAGTCTTTAGCTATCACAGCGATGGCGACAGACTCGGCGCAACCTGGAAGCGTATTATTAAGTAATACACAACATATCGCAATTCCTTACAGGTGAGTCACATACTAAGTGGCTGATTACTGATCTGTTACATAATTGCATACACCTCCGTCCCTGATCTCGAATCCTGATGGCAGCAGAATGAGCATCCATGAACACACGGGGAGAGAGAGGCTCCTCATGGTGAGGGATGTTGTTTCGCAAAGTCTCGTTGATTTGTTTTTATGATGGTGACATGGTGGTGGTAAAATCTCCAGTGATGGTTGTATTCGTGATAGCAATGATGATTGTTACGTGTGATATATTATGATAGTGGTGGTGAGGCAAACGAGGTGGTGTATGTGTTCTGCTAGGTTCTGCTGGAAGCCCAGGAGATGGCAGTAAACCATCACAACGTGGAGTTCAGATCCAACCTCTATGTGGGTAAGGGAGCCCCAGATTAAGTTTCTCAGACTCAAGTCTTAGTATCTGTGCTATCAATATCCTTTATTCAAATTCATGTGAGAGCTCAATGATTTATGAACCCGATTTACTCATGCCTCTTTGTATCTTATTTATTTTGATACTTGTACCTCGTGACACATCCTGGTATCTTCTCCGATGCTCTTCCCATACCTTGTTGCTTCATACTTTTGTGTGCCCCATTATGCGGTCATGTCTTAGCACATTTTGTATCTCTCCACAGCTTCCTCTGTTTCCCTCTTGACCTCTCATCTTCCTGTAAATCTCTCCTCTTTTCTATGCATCTACATACATGGTCCCATATCACCCTGATTGCTTCTGTATCATCCCATGCATTTTTCTAATTTTCCCCCATACATACGTGTTCCCATTGCTCCCCACACCTTTCCCTTCCCTACAATTTATTGAACCTCCCGATAACTTTACGGTTCCCTAACCATTCGTTCCGTCTCTCTGCATGCCCCACACCTATGCCCAGCCGAGTCATTTGTAGGCAAAGGCATGTACCTGAAGCGGCTTCGCTACCACGGCCGGGGCATGTTCGGCATCATGGACAAGGTGCGCTGCCACTACTTTGTGAAGCTCGTGGAGGGACCGCCGCCCTCCGCCGCGGAGCTGCAGCGCGCGCGTTATCCCGTGGAGCATGCACGCTCGCCGCTCGCTCACCTGCGCTCGCCCATAGAGCAGGCGCGCCTCTACGTAAAGGAGCTGCGCCAGCGCACCGTCCCGCACTCCCTGTGATGGGGAGAGGTTTAGAGCGCACCTTCCCACACTCTGATGTGCGAGTGGGATTTAAAGAGCACCGTGTGTGCAATCAACTCTGCTCCCTCCTGTAGTTGAAGTTGGAGTGCCCTTGTTTGCAGTAAAATCTGACTAATTGGGGGCAGAGCCTCCGGCTTACCCCAAAGTCCAGCTTCGTGAGGGTTAACTGAAGTCCAAACGTGCAAAGCACAGGCGCTGGCACAAGTGCACCCAACAAAGTCGGTATGGTTTGCTGCATTCTCAGATGACTGTGTTTCTATATTGCTGACGTTGACACACTCGTGAAGGGCTGAATCGATCTACGACAGAACATGGCCAAATTTCAAATGCCAATTGAAAATGGTGTATTTTAGCATAGCCCAAAATCTGATCATGGGTTGTCTGAAATGTTTTGTACAGTATATGAACAAATCAATATGGGCATCGCGGTAGCGAGATGTTAACTATCTTGCCTGGTATACAGGAGGTCATGTGTTCAATCCCAACCCTGACACCTGTATATTTGCAGTTTGTATGTTCTCCCTGTGGTCGCATTTATTTTTCTCCGGGCCCTCCAGACTTTCCCTTCACATTTAGAAATGTGTAGAGTGTTTGGTTGCTATAAATTTCCACAAACCACTTCATTGGGCTGTCGTTTGTGGCCAAGTCACTTCTGAAAAAGTTATACAATAAAACCTTGGATTGCGAGCATAATTCGTTCCGGAAACGTGTTTGTAATCCAAAGCACTCGTATATCAGTTGTGATCACGTGACGCTCGGCAGACAAAGCGTAAACACGTACTACTCGTATTGAAAGACCTCGCTCGTTTATCGAATTAATATTTATTAAAAATTTTGCTCGTCTGGCAAAACACTCGCAGACCAAGTTACTCGCAATCCAAGGTTTTACTGTATAACTCAATGGGCCTTACCTGGTAAAATAAACATCGTTTATATGCCACAGCTCCCCCTTGTGTGACACACGCGTGGTTTTTTTAAATATTTTATTTGATACATTTTTGTACAGTTTGCACTCTGCAATAATTATGATTCATCACAACATTAAAATCAAACTGCCTTTAAATAACAATTGCTGGTGATTTATTTTGTGTACAAAATCGAACACGCCACATTGTCTTCATGAGTAATGAGATGGTTTATCGTCGTGCAGTTCATTGCCACCTACTGGTTTGGCAGCAGAGGTCTCAACAAATCAGTCAAGTGGCATCACTTCACCTCTGCAATGCTCTGGATTCCCTTATGGAAACCCCTGCTCTGGCTTGCGACATTCAGGCTGACCCTGAATGTCTCGAGTAACAACAGGGTCCCCCCTTTGATGGGAGGTCAGAATAAAGTACATTGGCTGCATCATGTATCCAGCATGCCCAGCCACTGCATGTCCTGCTAATGTGGGTGCAGTTAGACTGATGCGACACAGGATGAGCTTGCAGCTCAGTGAATTTGCTGAAGGAAACTTGCCAGCAGTGCTAAGATTGTGAAAGATGCCACTGAGTGGCTGGTGGTAGCCACCTTCCAGAAACGATGGCGAGCAGAAAGCAACACCAGCAATATGATAATGTAATGTCACCACTGTTAAATGGTGAATGACAGCCATAGTCCTTGTTGTGTACAGGCATATCTGTCACAGTGCTGCCTTTTATAATGCTGTTACGTTATTACGCAATGTCCTAAAGGAAAATTACTGTGAGGATCAGCCCATATATATGGAAGTAGATGTGGTGCTGCCAATAGGGGCATGTCTTTGGAACCAGCATCGAGGTCTATTGTATTAATTCTGCTCAGTCGATTTGACACCTATGCTAGAGTATCGATTCATCGAGGGTGAATTCATAAATTCATTGACAATCCATGTATCGAATAATTCCATAGGTTAGTATAACTTCCCACGGAACGTGTGATTACGGCAAACAGTTGATCTTACACGCAAGCTCCCACCCAATTTTCTGGAAAGTGCATCACTTAATGTCAGTATTAAAATGTATTTGAATTAATGAAATGATTTTATATATGTATCATGTGCAAAGTATCATTAAGCTTATTACCGATGCTCCAATGAAGCCCTCGTATCGCTCATAGGTAAAAAAATTGCGCTGTCAATACGCATCTCCATCGGAACCATGTTAGTGACCTAGTATGCATCCTGAGCGCTATAAGAGGTATGCTTGTACGTGTGTGTTTGAGCATAGGAGAGATATGTACTCTACTGTGTATACGTGTGAAAAGAAAAAAACTTCATCAGCCCTCCAGGATCAATAACGTATGAAATTGATGGCTGTCCTGTGCAGAGTGCCAGCCATAGTAATGTGGAGTTCCACCACTGGTTCAGGGTCACCAATGGAGATGTGCACTCTACATTATTGATCAGGAAGACTGACTTTCTGTATCTGCTGATATGCACATATGTATGTTTTGCACGTGCACGAAAGACTGGTTTTGCACATGTCTGATGTGTTTACATGTTGTGAATGTTTATATAACAGCATGTGTGATACAGTATGTCGGTTTGTGCCTGTGTGTCTGGCAAGAACAATCCCATATCCTCTCGGTGGTGCCCGATGATAACCCTGTGGTGGCTGGGAGCAATGCCATGGGGGGAGGGCCAATTCCAATTGGCTATCTCCCTCATGGCGCTTGTCGCTACAGCGGCCAACGGGCGCTCTGGATGGGTATGAGGGACTGGTAACCCCTCCACCTTCATTTCAATTACGACGAAAACATGCAAAAAATAACGAACTTGTTCCGGACGCCTCAGAGGAACAGGTTTCTACGACGTCTCCTGACTAAACCCCATTTGACGGAGCCAGAAGACTGGACCCGTACCCTCGGGGTTCTTCCAGCAAAAAGCCTATGCAAGTGGCCACTTGAAATGTACGAATGTTCACTGTGGAGGAGAGGCTCCCACTTCTCTTATCGGGAGCTGGACTGGTACCACCTAGATCTGCGGTTGTCAGGAGGTCCGGTGGACTTGTTCTGGCTGCAGTCACTGAGAACTAGTCAGTCCTCTAATCAGGGAGGAGACAGCCAAACAACATGGAATGGCTCTTCTGAACAAAAGAATAAAGGGGGTGTAGGAGCGTGGCAGTGAGGTGTGGGAAGCTGTAAGTCCCCAGCTACTGTGGGCTCGCCTCCCCTTCAACAGGAGGCGGAGTGGTGGTAGTGGTTTACGCCTGGGTATTTTGTGTCATCAAACACTCCACCCTCTCAACTCCCCATTGGTGATGGGGAGAGTTGTGGAGAGAGTGGAGATGTTCCCATACCTGGGCACTGTGCTTATGACTGGCTATGGTTTTACAGCAGAGGTCTCACTCCCAATCAGTTGAGCGGCATATTTTCATTGGCTGCATAACGCTCTGTGGAAGCTACCTGGTTTGCCACTCCAAAGGAAGCTTTGGGTGGTGTTCTCAGCCACAGTCATGTCCTTACATTTTCTATGCTTGCGAAATGTTGACCCCCGTATTCAAACATCTTTGGCGGTTAGAAACATTCAGGCTGGCCTGCCTACAATCCATCCTGGGTTTAACCAGGCTGGATTGTGCGAGATCACAAATCCTTGAAAGACCTGGACACAGTCCCATTGGTGAGCTCCTTCGGCAGGCAAGGCTGCATTGGCTGGGTCATGTAGCTTGCATGCCGAAACAGATTTTGTTCGGGCAGATAGGACTAAATGGGCGTGGCATTGGCGAGAGAAGAGGTGGAATTATGTGGTATGAGAGGATATGGAGCTGAGTAGACTTGCCAATGACTGGTACCAGCAGTAAAATTTTTGATTTAAAGCTTTCGTGACTGCAGGGATTCATATTCTTGGTTCTTTCGGTAAAGTCACGTAGAAGGGAAATAATAAAATAATACATGACCCAGTCAAAATTGGCCTCTGTGGAGGATGCTCGCGAAGGACTGCAACTGTGGAGTTGAAGGTAGTCGCCGTCCAAAAACAGCAGAGGGCACAGGAGTGACGCTCACAACAACGAGCAGAGCGCTGGGTGGCAGTCAGGGGCACAGGTGGTACCATCTGCCAGTCATCTCAGTCAACCCATGACCTGGCAGTGAGCATTCGACACGATGCGTGGCCTTAAAGTGCACATAGCGTGGCACAAGCGCTGTGGTAACATCACCACCACTTAGTTGCAAATGCCGGTTGTTGTTGTACCTGTGTGGATATGTTTGTGTGAAAATTAAGGCACGTTTTTATTTGTGTGCATATGCATGCATGCACGCTCGTGCACAGTAAATCACGCTTTTTTTACCTCATCTCTAACAAGCTCAGCCAGTCTTTGAAGACCCTGGGGACAGAAACACAATTACACTTACACTGCAATTCGTGTCAATACGTGTCAAAGCCACTCCTAGTAGAATCTCACCCGTTCTCTTTTGTGTGTAAAGACACAAATTGAGAGTTGAATATCAGAGGTCGGAGTTGAAACAGGGACACTAGTGTTTCATCCACACTTGTGATTACCTGTCTCTCTGTATTTCTGATTGCCGACCTGCACCTCTGGCGTCGGGGTTATAAGGAGGGAGGGGGCACGAGGGCCAGAATTGGGAGGGGCCGAAGTGGTCGTGCTCACCCACTGGTGGAACGTTTCGGCCACCATGCCACCGTGTCTCCTCTCCCTGTGTCCCCATGTCTCTATGATCCCCTCCATCCCCATGTCTCTATGATCCCCTCCATCCCCATGTCTCCCTGATCCCTTTATTGCTCATGCTTCTCACCATATCGATGAGCTTTGGGCTGGTGATTGAGAATGACGCACGCAAGTGTGAGGAAACTGCATCCAAGCCAGGGTAGAAATCAGCTCCAGGCACGAACAACACCTGCAGCATAAATCCAGGTGAGTGACATTTATAGATGAACGACATTTTGATCCATATGTAGAGGTGTTACGGAGGGCAAACAAACACACTGGGCGTGGTTATGCCCGTACGCCGAGAGGTGCTTACATCCACGTCCGCACCGTTTAGCCTGGGGGGCTAACACGGCGCTGGGATCCCCCACGGCCCCACCCCTCAGTGGGGGAGTTGCTATATAAGGCGGTGAGCCGGAGGGCTCGGGGTTCAGTGTTCAGCCTTAACCAGCGAAGCAAGAAGACCGGCTAGATAGGCCCTGAGACTCCCCTGGATCGCTGTCCTTCTCAGGACCGACCAGGGCAAGCCAGTGGCGTGGCCCCAAGAGCCCAGAGCCGATGCTCTTGTAAGAGCTGGTCTGGGGACTCAGGGTGCCGTAATCCCAGCTTAACCAGAGCTGGGTTAGCTAGCCTCCCCTAGCCCTGTAGTGGAGGACCTAGGAGTAGGCTAGCTGTGACATAGATTGTTGATCTCCATGTTAGACGGGTGAAGGGGCCGATACCCCTTCGAGTGTTGTACATCTCGGCCTGTTATGTATAAGTAAGATCTGCACAACCCCTGCAGATGTCATGCACAGCACAGCACAGCTAATCAACAGCCTCTGCATGTTGTGTGGATCATGGGGGCTATATGACCATAAATCACCGTGATGCTCAGTGAGGCTTGAAGATAAGGAGATTAAATGCGGGAGCATAGAAAATACAGTACAACAATTTTGCTGTATTGCCCGCTGCTGCCCACATTGCATCACAACTTCGTAGCCAACAAGGGCAACCTGGCATGCATGCTTGTTGCCCATCTAAACATGAGCCAGGGGAATCTCTGGAGAATTAACCATGTGTATCACAATGTGTGTGGAAGAATAGACGTGTGTGAGTGTGTATGTGTACGTGTCGACTTAGCCTCAAATAAGTACCTGGTGGATTGTATAAATATCGTCACTTTGGGTGACAAAGGTGGCTAGTTGTGGTGCTAGCCACCACCCATTTGTGTACTGTACCGGCCTTCATAGGTGCTTGCTAACAGCACTTGTCCCAAAAGTCTGTAAAGGTTATAAGGGGGATCTTTGTATGTGCACGTGCCTCTTTTGCCAGGGCTTTCTTCATGATGAGGTCTCGTGAATTTTCCACCCCCAGTAATTTTATCCACAGGAACATTCCTGCCTGGGGCGAATCCCACTCGGCCAAACCTGGACACACACGGAGACATAAGGAAAAACGGTGATACACAGCGAGACAGGTGAAACAGCGACACAGTAAGATGAGGAGAAACGGTGACACGGGAGGCATGCGGAAGAACGGGGTTGCACGGGGAGGTACAAAGATGCAGAGGGACGTGTGAGGAGACAAAGGTATGCAACATAAGGACTCAACAAGGAGGTAGAGGGATTGTATTCCCGAGGTATGGATGTATGAGGAAGCATGGGGACATAAGTTGCCAGGTTGGCAAAGTAAAATTTCACATCAGACAAATCTCATCAGATCTTCGAAGCGAGGCAGGGATGAGCCTGGTTAGTACTTGTGTGGGAGACTGCCTGTGGGCTTGGGCAGCAAGGTACTCAGGGGGTGGTCGTACAGCAATGGATTCTTGATTTTGTCTGTGCGGATTTCTCGTGTTACCCCCTGGTATATGTGGGTTTTCTCTTGATACTCCAGTTTCTTTGCACATGCAAAACACTCATAAATGTAATCGGCCAAACATCTGTAGGCAGGTCCCTAAAAAAGTCTTAATACTTTAAGACTAAACAAAATACATTAATGTTATAGAAATTGATAATGCACACATGTCATTCATTACCAGTAGTGTGTGTCCGCATACGTGTGCAGATGCGCATGCCACCGTGAAGCTTCGTGTGCCTTACCCGTGAGCCATTTCTGGGCGGAGGAGACCATTGCATCTTTCTGAGAGCGGTAAAATTCCACCACACTGCAGCAGACAGAGGAAGTCACAGTGTCACGCACTTACTGACAGGTGACAGAAATGTCAACAACATTTTAATAACAAGTATAACCCGTAAAAACAAAGTTTTTCAATATAAATCCTTTATATGCGTGGTGGCTAGAGTCCTCTCGTCCGCTGGCTTGAGATGGCTGCCACCTATGGGTCAGATGATTGCATTGCACCATTAAGCAATTGATAATTAAATATAATATTTTTGTCCTAAAAAGTGTAACATTTTGGGAAAAATTTTTCACGAACATTAATTGTCACGCACAACGAGTCTGTGTGGAAAATGTCAGCTCGATTGGATCACGGGAAGTGGGTTAAAAAACGACCGAAGGATTTGCACGGTCCTAAGCAAGCAAGCAAGCGAACTTAATATAAAGGATTTAAAAAGACGCACTGTTTATTGGAGTCTACAATTTGCCGAGTGAATATATTTGCTGAATCCAAAATGTCTAATTGAAAAAAACCCATGAAGAACGTATACATTGGTATCTCTACTATTAATCTTTATTGGCTCAACAATTGCCTCCTCCAGGGCGTGGACTTTTTTTAAATGCAGTCTCTGACCATGTCACCGGGAGTACACTCAATCTCGTCAGACCTCAGAAGCTAAGCTGGGTTGAGAGCCTGGATGTCGTGCTTGAATAGGAGACCACCATGCATACCAGGGTGGCATCGATCAATTCGAGGCTGTGCCACATTGTGGTAAGCAGAGGACAGTGCTAAAAAATTAATTGTTATTCGGCCATTCTATGCTCCCCACCTTTAACCAACCGATGGTTACCAGTGTGGTAAAGTATGGTCAAATAATGCCTCTCCAGACCTGAGGTGTGGGGAGGCCCTCTTCCAACAGTGGATTGACAAAAGGGCCGTATGAGTACATTCCTGTGTGTTGGTAACGCATTCCGGTTTAGTGGCGGCTGAATGGTTTACCGTTTTGTGTGGAGGATCGGTTAAAGGCTGCACAAGACTGTATGTGTAGCAGAGTCGCGGGTCTATCCCTGGTCTCCCATTCACACCAGGGTGTCATCAACCATTACGGGTGCCACTGGCACCGGTGTGAGTGTAGCATGGGTGGTGTTGTGCTGTCAACACACCTGTCCACGTGGTCGAGAAAGCCATCTATGCCCCATTGCTCCAGAAGCTTATACACCAAGATCTGCAGAGGCACATCGTCATCTGCATCATTACCCTCATCATCAGTCATAATCTACATCATTACGCTCATCATCATCTTTACCACCACCAAAATTATCATCTGTATCACCATACATCATTATCCTTGTCACGAGTCAGACCTCCTCTTATCCATGTTGACACGTGGGTCGCTATATTTTTTAGCAAACAGCCACGTATAAATGGAGAAGATACACACGTAACTTGCTACCACTACTACTCGTGGATAGCAGGAGCTATCCCGCACATAATTGGAGCTTCTGCGGACCGATCATGGCCAAGGTTCGCAGGATTCATGGATAATAGGGTTGCGAATAAGAAGGCTCCACTGCATGAACATTATCACCATCACTGTAAAAATCAACACCATTTGATAACTGTCACTGCTCTCATCTTCATCACTTGCAAAATCGAATAATGTTAAACATTATCATCGTTTCATGTTGCTGACATTATCAACATCACAATCACCAAAATCAACACCATCAAAATAATCTAAACTCTCATCCCAAATCATCTTTGACACCATCATCATTGCCAATTGTCACAAGCAGAGGGAAACAAGTATGTGCCGGCGAAATTGATGTATTGGCGGTACACCGGTGCAGCATAACACACCAGTCCTCATAAAACAGTCTGAAATCTATTTTTTTATCATAAAATCTGTTTATCAGTCTTTAATTGGCCCTACTAATTTGGTTGTTTTCATTTATTTTATTTTATTTTTTACCTACGTGACATTACCAAAAAAACCAAAGAGTATGAATCCTTGCAGTCACGAAAGCTTCAAATCTAGAATTTAATTGGCCCTGTTACGATTCAAAAGTTTATTCAGTCTTCTGAGACTTGCTAAGAAGAGTCAATATTGACCGTGATTTTTTAGACCGACCAGGATCATCATCTTCGTCGTTTGACCTAAGAAGGTCTTCGCTCATTTACCAGCTTCACATTCCTTATTGCCATACAAATACTGAAGGAAGGGCCTTTGCTATTGATGCCCCCAGGGTCTGGAATGCTATCACCAATAAACTGCAACTTGGATCACTACCTGTGAGATCTTCACTCAAAACTGCTCGAGAGGAGTTGTACACCCCGAGCTGCCACTGCTATTCAGTGGCCTGAAATGAAAGGTATCGCTCCGGATGACCGGTGCAAAGTATGATCTTGAGTTTTGATTACAGTGTGCTGATCTTTAAAGGTGCATTGAAAAATGTTGATACTCCTACTGATACTCCTGCTGTTACGGAGTGACTCATGCTGCCAGCTATGGCTGCAAAGTTTGGTCGTAAATGTTATGTATATCGTTTATTGTTAAATTTGAATCACAGTTCCTATAATCACTGTTACATTGTTTTTATAGATTTATTTTGGTGATTTCGAAAAAAATTTGGTTTAGCCATATTTATTTGTTGTAGTACAGAGTTAGACTGATAACTTTAATCTAAATTGTCTTATGGTTGTTATTGTTTGCTTACATCCCACTGGGATTTTTGCACACAGCGTTGATATACGGTGCTTTTTATGGAAGACTTTGCTGTTTTTTTCCTGGATTTTTCTGTTGCGAGTAGTCACTTTAAGATGTTCCTTGTTCATGTTTTTGTTTGTTGCGGTTGCATCCAATTCAAGAGCCGCATGGCTCACAGGGCTATACCTAATTAATGAAACTGAAACTTGAACCACCGATGGATAGTACGGCAAGTAGAGTGTTGGGATCGTTAGGGTTAGATTAGGGATATTCTAATGGCAACAATAAATGATGAGAAAATCTAAATCTTTCGTGAAAAACCAAATACTATTGAAGGTTTTCTCTTATAGGCATCATTGTTCATGAAAGGTCAGTGCTCGTATTTATCCAACCTTAACCTAACCATAACCGTCCGACCAAGTCTAAGGCAACAGTGAAATCTGTCTAGGGGCACGAGTCAAAACACGGAGCCAATCGTCATCAGGCTGGGTGCTATACGGCAACAAACTGAAGTTTTGTGTTCAGCTGCTCATAGCATTCGTCTTCCGACTGCTTCGACATCACGAGAACTAATTTTGACGAACCCCACAAGATTTTCTGATCGGGGTTGTGAATCGCGGGAAAAGAAATAAAATTAACAACTATTGCGAAAAATGTGCTTTTTCATACCGCGCATCGGTGTACCACCAATACATTCAAATTTGAAAATGGACTCGTGTGAGGGTGGATGTGTGTACAAGTGGATATGTGAGGTGAGTGTGAAGATTCACCCGTCAATGGTTGACCTGTGAAAAGGTGGATGCATACATGTTGGACATTGTGAGCAGGTGGATGTAAAAGACGGTGGATGTGTGCATGGTAGACCTGTGAGAAGGTGGACGTGTGCATGGTCGATGTCTGCATGTGCAGGATGACTCGGTTCACCAACTTTTTGGGTCCCGTCAAGAAACCCAGACGCAAGCTGTCATCGGCAAGGACAGCCAGAGACACAGGGCAATAAGGGACACAGAGCTACACACACACACCAAAGTCATCTGTAAGAGAGTATCACTGAGAATAAGATAATGATTGAGGAGAAAAGGAAGAGATGACAAATGAAAAGAGAATTGCTGATGTGCACTTGATGATTTTTGAGGGAAAAAAAGATGCTAGTTAAGGATCAGGTCATAATTTGTATAATCAAGAGATGTAAGTTGAGGAGCAAGAATGTTTAAAAGGGTTCTCTCACCCAGAGGAGATGATCTTGGAGAAGGAATCTGTGCGGATGACCCTTCCATCAACATCCATAGAGAGGAAAGATTCACTCCAGGGCTGGGACAACAAAATAATTGCCATTAACATCATCACCTCTATCACGTCATCTCCATCAAAGCCAAGGTCATTACTACATCACCACAATCACAGCCAACATTATCACCACATCACCTCCATCACACGCAGCATGATCACTACATCATCATTTCTCCACGTCCATCACAGCCAACGTCATCACTACAACACCACCATCCAAGGCAATATGAATTATAACTACATCACTTCCATCACAGGCAAAATCATTGCGACATCACAAACACCCCCACCTCATTGCTTCAAACACAAGATCACCTCATCATCTGTGTTGCAGGCAACATCAATATGCGACAGACATTACCACATCATAACCTCCATAACATCCAAAATCACAAACATCGCCACCACATCAAGGACATGACAACTACATCACTTCATTCACAGGCAACATCAGCACATCATCCCAATCATCACCAACTCCTCCATCCACCTGAAGACGGAAGCTTGTGTTGCCTCTGAAACGTCGTGATTTTTATTTTATTTTACTTTTATTAATTTTAATGTTTTACCTACCTGACTTTACCGAAAAAACCTAAGAATATGAACTCCTCCATCACAGGCAACACATCAGCGACAAGACCGACTGCATAGGGCTCTCACATACCGGGTCATCTCACCTTTTTAAACTGCAGGTAAAAGTAAGGGTCGTCTTCGATGATGAGGAGGTCATACTCCCGTGCAATCTGAGAACACAGGTAAGTGGTTGAGAGCTCTGTGCGTGAGCCCAGAACCTGCAGGCCTCAGCAGCCAGTTGGCGGAAGTCCCCACAGGAGAGGCGGGTCTCCGACAGAAGTGCGGCAAGCAAGCATTTTCAGGACTGCACCTTTTATCTTTGAACTGAGAAAAGAGGGCAAATGTACCGTGTGGTTTGTACGTTCACACGTGCCAATCAATTCATTCACTACTGACATTACCCCGGAAACAATTACCGATTGCTGAAATTCGGAATCGGTAATCGAACCTGATAACGAGGACTGATTCACTATCTTTTTATTTGTGTGCGTGTATGTCTTTGTCCTGTGGGGAGCCGGAGTGCAGTGTTTAGCAAGCTGCACTATGAACCCGATCACCCGAGTTCAATTCCCACTCACGGCCAACACCAGTGACGGGTACCTAGTGTTTGTGGGTGTATGGGCACATATTTGCTTCGATGTGTGTTGGGTGGATGGAGCAGTAGCTCATACCGCGGTCCTGGATTACCAGGGTTGTTTCTTGCTCACGAAGATCAACAGTGACAATTGGAATCTGGTATATGCTGGTGTGTATGGTTATGGTATGCGTGTGTTGTTGGGGGTAGCGGCAGGGCAGCGGTTAGCGTGTTGCGTTACGAACTCAGCAACCCGAGTTCGATTCCTGCTCATGGCCATCACCAGTGATGGTTATCAGAACCAGTCCTGGGCCTCCCCTAGGTCGACTCAGCCTCAATTGAGGATCTGGTTTGGTGTGTGTGGGAGCCAAAGGTAGCCAGGCACAGTGCTGAAGCACCCACCGCCTTGTGTGCCGTGCTGGTCTTCATGGATGTTCACCAACAGCACTTGCCCCAACAGTTTGTTAAAGGCTATCAGTCGGGAGGGGGGGGCTATGTCCTGTTGGCACTCAGCGAATCTGCGGTGGGGCTGTGTAAAGTAAGTTGCATTTACATATGCGTGTATGTTTTGTGTATGTGCATGTGTCTCACGCGGTATATTTCCCGTTTCCTGTCGGTGCTCAGCGAGGCTCCAGTGGGGTTGCCACCATTGGGGACTGTGCAGAGCACACGGGGGATGCCTGAGGCAGGGACGCGGGCGTCTGCTGGAGACCACGGCGAGAGCACGCGTCGCAGATCTGCCGGGATCATCCCCTGTGCATCGCTCGCTACGCTCAGCACACGCGCGCCGAGTGGTTCCACCTGGGATAGTGAAGACACGGAGGGACACGGGGGGTACAGGTTTGCACATTGGGAGATATTGAGTCACACAGCGACAGGGGCAGAATAAAGATTTCAAGCAAGAATGTTGCTCTCCCCCCTGAAATGACGACCCTAAATTAATTATTTTTTAGCTGCTGTGCTACAGACCACAAAGTCATGTGGCTGACTATGCAAGTCAGTGGATTATCCTCTCCCAGCTCTCACGCCACCACTAGGCAATATCGTGCACCACACAGTCCCGACCTCGTGACCGTGTGCTACAACAGCTTTGTCTAATATTTATTTCCTTGCCTACTTTGCATGTACGTATGGTTTTCAAATAAAAGCAGAAACTCTGGAAAGCAGTCGGGTGGCTCAGGGATCAGAGTATCTGAAATGGCACCACTGGAATCTTGGGGTTTGCATCTGGGTCTGAGCTGCCCATGATTAAACCAGGTTCTCAAGTGGGTCAGCCATCAATGCCTGCAAAAAATACCCATCATATTAAATTTGGTTTCGCACCCAATTTGGCATTATTCTAACTCCGAGGACGACAGATGTTGGTTGGTTGACAAACAAACAAAAACTCCATGCAGGATATATTAAAGATGTGGATAAAGAGGTCTCACAAAGAGATCTTAGAAAGAGTTATGTGATGACGGGACCGTTGTCTGATCCAGGGTGGTGCACTCCTATCTGTAGAAGTTCTGAATGTACATTTTTCATCTTGTGATAGAATGCTGATAGCACAATTGGGATACAATGTGGATAAACTAAAACTCACGGCGATGAGGGTGCCCGGGTATGTTGGCGTGTCCATGAGCACGTAGTCGCCTGGGGTGATGAGCATCTCAAACACCTGGACACAGTCATACAGACAAATATACAAATACGTATCTTCTTCATCTCAGCCAAAAGTCCCATTACTCTACGGGGTCCACTGCTCAGGTTTTCTTTCTCCGTAGGCTGCACCTCTTCCCTAATCACATCCATCGTCCTCATATCTCGTTCCACCACATCCTTCCATTTCACTCTCGCTCTTTCGCTACTCGTTCTACCCTGCACCGCCATATCTACAGCCCTTACACAGTTTCACCTTCTCTAAACATAGACACGTGCAAATACAAAACAATCTCCAACTAAAGTCACGATTCATGACTTAAGGGCAGTGATATCACCATGGTAATTGTGCTGGGACGATGGTGCACTTTGAGGCCATACGTAGTGGGGAAACCATGCGACTGATCAGACCAAAACGCATGGGCTAGAAGAAGACATAACCCCATAACACTGATACCTTGTTAGGTGTCAATACATACCTGGGCTGTGTATCCCAGGCTCTCCCGCGTGGGTTTAAAGCTTCGTAAATGAAAATAAAACATTATCGAGGCCTGAATGTGTTTATCTTCTGAGATTTGGAGAAATCGGGGGCACTCCAGGTGGCCTGGCCATCAGCATGTACATGCTATGTGTATGCCCCTGTGCAGTGTGCACACCTTGCTAATCGCCTCCTGGCTGCCTGTGGTGATGCACACGGTCATCTCGGTGTCTGTGGATTCAAATTTGCGCGTCGGGGGGTTGTGAACCCTCGTCTGCAGCTGCTTGAACCAGTCAATCAGCTCAGGGATGCTGCACACAACCACACAAAAGACAAAGATCCCCCATATAGCCTTTAACAGACAGTTGGGGCAAGTGCTGTTAGCAATTGCCTATTAAGGCTGGCATGGCAAATGATGTCGTGGTGTCACCAGTACCACGCACGGTCACCTTTGTCTCCCCAGTGCCAATGTACACACAATGCATCAGGTACTGAGTCGAACGAGCAGATGGCTCGGATCGGTTCAGATATCGCTCACCACCGATGTCAGCCAGCCATGGAAAGCAATCGAACTTGGGTCATCGGGTTTGTTGCGCAATGCACAAGCGAATATGCCGCTGCAAGCACGTACAAACACACTCACATATACAAATACAGTGCATATACGCAAACACACATGCACTTATCCCTACACATACACACACAAAGACACGGAGTGAATGCACACACACCAATACAAATATATATGTAGTGAGTCCAACCGAGTCGCAGACCTTCAGAGGCAACACATTTATTACACAACACGTATACAGTGATCCCTCGTTTATCGCGGTTAATGGGGACCGGAACCCCTCGCGATAGGTGAAAATACGCGAAGTAGGATTGGCCCCCCTAGGAATTTCTGTATATGTGTGTGTGGGTACCAGAATGTTTAAAATATGTATATTTATACTTTATATATATATTTTTTACTTAAATCTATTTAATTATAAAACTTTAATATTAGACATTCACTCACTCACATATATTTTACTTAAATCTATTTAATTATAAAACCTTAATATTATACATTCACTCTCTCTCTCTCATACGATACGTATTATGATGCGCAGCCAATCAGCTCATGGGATACTGTACATCCACTCGTGCTCTCATTCGTCGATCTCGCGCCGGGAACCAATCACGTGCCTTGTCTGAGTGCCCGTGGGTACAGTATGTACAAAGCCTCTGAGAGAGTTTCTCTCTTTGTCTGGCATCCTGGGAAACCGTTTCTCTCGCGCATCACGATGAAACAACGCTGCTTTCCGCAATACGGCTGCCGATATGGCGATATTTTTGAATTTTTATTTTTCGATGAATATTTTTGAAAAATCCGCGATGCACTGAGGCCGCGAAACTTGAACCGCGAAGTGGCGAGGGATTACTGTATACCAAAGGGTAACCACCCAGCTAACTGTACCACCATACAGGAGTTATGGCTACGACGGACCGGACCCATACTCGGGTCCCGGGCCACGTGTTGGTGCCTCTTCAGATGTAGAACGTGGAGCTTCCAGCTTGCAGAACGAAGCGACCACGGTCCCTCCCGGGGACCCACCTTTTATCCTCCCGGGCCAGGGCTGCTCCACCCTCGGCCCCGCCCACCTTCTCGAGCGTTCCAGCTCCCTCTCGATCCCTCTCGAGACGTGATCACCCCCTAGCCCCCCCCCACCCACCTGGGGGCCTCCCTATGGACACTCCGGATCACGTGCCTACGGGGTCAACCAGAGTGCCATGGCCCGGGGCAACCCTGTCCCTGGGCTGACACTCTCCTGCTCCCTCTAGTAGGAGCCCGCACTGCACGCCATGCGTGGTGCCCTCGCTATCCCAGCGCTCACCAAGCCCCGCTAGGGCTGGCACTACACCCGCCTGATGACAGTGCATCGCACGCCGTGCTCTGCTCGAGTCGGCATCACTCTGCAACACACAGGATGCTGTCCGCGATGTAAGTACATTGCACACCATGGCCCTCTAAGGCCGGCACCATACAGTGACATCCCCAATGTCACTACACATACATGCATGCATTTACGCATTCATTCAAGTGTGCAAACAGCTCCCTGTACACGTAGGCACACACAAAAGAAGAAGATCCCCCGTGCAGCTTCTGCAGGGGAAAATTTCGTGAAGCAAGCACCAACATGGCACATGAGATCTTGGTCTCCCTAAGGCAAATGACAAAGCACCAGGTGATCATTTGAGGCTCAGTTTACCTTGAGAAGGCTCAGGCCAGGTTGAAATTCCAATTGCCTTTGATTCTATACATCGTGTCCAGGAATCGAACATGGATTTGTAGTGCAATACCGATGCTACTATAACCACACACACACAGCTGAGAGCATTCACCTGCATGCTCACATTGCATCTCCTGTTATCACTTGTGTCTGTGGGCATCCGTGTATCCCACAAATGTCCTGTACATGTCCCCATGTCACCCCATGTCTCTGTGTGTGCATTCTGACATCGTGGGGAGCGGTAGTGTAGCAGTTAGTGCGCTGCGCTATGAACCCGGCGACCCGGGTTCGATTCCCGCTCACGGCCAACACCAGTGACGATTATCTAAACCAGTCCTGGGCCTCCCCTAGGTCGACTCAGCCTGAATTGAGTACCTGGTGCGGTGTGTAAACATCACCATTGGGGAGACAAATGCGGTCAGGCGTGGTGCTGGCCACCCACCCCCTCGTGTAACGTTCCGGCCTTCATAGGTGCTCGCTTACAACACTTGACCCCTACAGTCTGTTAAGGCTATACGGGGGATCTTTGTCTTTGACATATTAGCACATGTAGTCATGTGTCGTGTGTCCCTGCGCCCCTGTGCACATGCCCTTGTGTGCTCACTGGTCTCTTTCTGTTTCCTCCGCCACGTTTGTGGCTCCATGCATGTATGTCCCTTAGTGTCTCTGTGCATGTCCCCTTTTGTCTCCATGTGTGTGTTCCCATATTGCGAGTCCACGCACCCATCCGTGGGCGAGTACTGCAGCATCCTCGCAACGGTTTTGGTGTCGAAATTCAGACGGGATGGTCCGGGTAGCTTCTCCCTGTGCAGGGGCCGTGTCTCCACGCTCACCCCAAGAAATGGGAACGTGTTGGGGTTTGGCATCCCCGTAGCCAGGGAGATGAGGCTCGGTGGAGCCTTCAGCTGCAGGTCAGCTACAATCGGACAAATGGGGACACACAGGGAAGCAAGTTACAATGAAACGTGGCGTTGCATGTGCACGTGTAGATATATGTGAAGTGTAGATACAATATCGATAAATACGCAGCCCTGCAATTACTTGCTCACGCCACTACTGGTAGAAGGACCTCCAGTAACACATTGTCCTGCGGAGGGAGCTGGTAGGAACGTTGGGTTGCTCGGTCAATGGCCTGCAGGGTCAACGGCGGCGTGGTGTATTCCGCAAAATTGCCCGACTGTGAGGGTGGGCACAAGCCGGCGTGAGTAGGTTAAACGTTGAGTTTTATAAGGGCACCACGGGGTGACCAGCCCCTCCCCACCACGCCTCACCCCTCCCACCCCCCACCCAGCCCCACCCTCCCCACCCAGCCCCACCCCACTCTCCTCTCCCCACCCAGCCCCACCCACCCTCCCCACCCAGCCCCTCCCTCCCCACCCAACCCCTCCCTGCATGACGGACGGACACAATAATCCCCTGTGGGCTGGTGGAACCAGTGGGTTCCTACCAGTATCAGGAGCTCTGCAGAGCTCCTCTCGAGGATATGTTGTTCTACTCTTCCACACTGGCCAGAAGGGTGGGCATACCAACTTTACTCCACCACACGCAACCTGGCGGCGGACTATGGTGTACACTAAGTGACCGGGTTGCGGAAGAGCCAACTTGCGGAAATACGACTTTACGGAAATGCTCCCATGAATCGTGGTAAAAAAAATCAACGAGCAGAAATGTTTGCGTTACTTACGCAAGCGCAAATAGTGCAGCACTGTGAGGTTGCGGATGAATACCGCAAAACGCCGCCTTCACCGAGGATTAAGGTAAACTGAATTTTTTGTCACATTATGTCATTCTTTTCCTTTTGGAGCATTACATAATTGTTGATTTTATATGCTTAGAATTATCTTTTTTCCCATGTTTATTTGGCGAGTTTTCTTCATTTTATGTTTATTTCACGAGTTATTTACTGTATGTACTTTAGTTCATATAATTACACCTCGATTGCTTATGGTATCAGCCAACAGCGATCGGAGAACTCTAGGCCGAATGCATGCTAAACGAACATTCGGAAGTGACTGCTTTCTGTTAACAATTAATATTCAAACGTTTCACGGTATTCATAAACAATAGGATACAGTATATGTTCCATTCATTTGCACCTGGGAAGTTGGAGGCAGCGACCCACCAACAACTAGAGGGTGTGTGAGCAACTTTCACAACATCTTAAGCGGTTGTTCTTTCGCCGTGTCTGTCCCCACCTGAAGACGGACGCTTGTGTTGCGCCCGAAACGTCGTGATTTTATTTAGTTGTTTTAATTTTTACTTATTTTATTTTTGACCTACGTGACTTTACCGAAAAAAAACAAAAAGTAACGAGCAGAGCGCCGAGTAGCTAAACGGCAGCAAGGTGGCACAGTGGGAAGTGAAGCTGGTGCATCTGCCAATTATCTCAGTTAACCCATAACACATCGGCCTATTTTGTAACCTCCTGCTCGTGATCCTTCGTTACTTCACTTAGCCACAAAGTGCACCTAATCTGGAAGAATCACTGTGGTGATGTCACCATGGCGTCGTGGTGAATTACGGTTGTTGTATGTTTACGCATCAGTCTTCATGTGGGTATTTGTAGTGTATATGTACGTGTCTTTATTGACGAGTGTGTGGTGTTTCGATTTAAAGCTTTCGTGACTGCAGGGATTCATCTTCTTGGTTCTTTCGGTAAAGTCACGTAGAAGGGAAGTAATAAAATAATAAAAATAAAACATAATAAAATAATTCTCACGACGTTTCGGCTACAACGCAAGCAGCCGTCTTCAGGTGAAGAATGAGACACTGCCAAGCTTGGAGCTTATATATAGCTCCAAGCTTGGCAGTGTCTCATTCTTCACCTATATATAAGCTCCAAGCTTGGCAGCGTCTCATTCTTCACCTGAAGACGGCTGCTTGCGTTGTAGCCGAAACGTCGTGAGAATTATTTTATTATGTTTCATTTTTATTATTTTATTACTTCCCTTCTACGTGACTTTACCGAAAGAACCAAGAAGATGAGTGTGTGGTGTATATACAGTATATGTGAATGTATGCATGTGTAGTGGTGGTATTGACGTGCGCCGGCAGTGATGGATCACGGGGCGCGGGGTTGGGCACGCGGTGTGGGCGTGGCATGGACGCGCGCGCCGGTGGTGAGGCGCGCTCACACAAGCTGGGAAAAGAGGATCGTAGCGAGTGCGCAGTGATTGGTCAGATAAGTGAGTACTCTCAGCGACGTCCGCAGGAGGGGTATAAAGGGGGACGCGCGAGAGCACTCGTGGTCAGTGTTAACCAGTTGAAGACCGAAGACGGGGTGGAGGAGGTAGGGGCCCTGTGTGGCTCGGAGCCGAGACTGGGGGGACCGTAGTCCGACGCCCGTGTGGGTCGGGACGGTGGTACCCAGAGCCGAGACGGGCACCCCGGCTGGGTGTGTCCCGGAAGGCTACAGGGCGTAAGAGCCCGTGTCAGTACAGCTGAGTGGGTGTTGGTCACCCGTGTAGCTGAGTGGGTGTTAGTCACCCGTGTAGCTGAGTGGGTGTTGGTCACCCGTGTAGCTGAGTGGGTGTTAGTCACCCGTGTAGCTGAGTGGGTGTTGGTCACCCGTGTAGCTGAGTGGGTGTTGGTCACCCGTGTAGCTAAGTGGGTGTTGGTCACCCGTGTAACGAAGTTGTAGTTGAGTGGGTGTCCGTCACCCGTGTAGCTAAGTGGGTGTTGGTCACCCGTGTAACGAAGTAGGGTGTTAGTCATCCGTGTAACTACAAGTTGGTGAAAATAAAGAGTGTGCTACCCGTGAAGTCGTCTCCTGCCGAGTTACTACTTTACAACTGGCGTCAGAAGTAAACCTGTCTTCAAGGAGAATGGACACAAGGAAGACTTCTCGTTCCCACGTGCAAGACCGGGGAGACGACGACGTACCGGTGACACCACCCTCGGGAGGAGAGGACGAGGAGTTGCCGCCGATGCAGCACTTCGCGGAAATGGCCGATGCTCCGCCCGCCTCCGACACCAGCCTGCAGGACGCACACTCCCGCCTGGCGGAGTTGCTGCTCGCCGCCGCTGCGATCTTGGCGGAGATCTCCGTTCCAGCGGCCGGTGGAACGCCTGCGGGGTTGGAAGAGGCGGCGCGGCTGGAGGGTTCCCGCCATAAGGCGTTTCGCGCCAAAAGTTTGGGAGTTGGCGCCATTTTTGAGGGTCCGCCTCCGGTTGGCGGGAAACGCGGACACCACGTGGCCAGAGGTCTCCACACAGCGCAGCCCGCGTCATCGGCGAGCGCCGGAGCTCTCCATTTTGCGCCTGCAGAGGGAGCCGACATTTTCTACAACCACAGCGGCGCGCGGGAAAATCGTTCCAACGACGACGACGACGATCGAGTTCTCCAGCAACGATTGCCCGCGCTGTCGGTGTTCAAGGCGGACGGGGGCGACTGGGGAGCCTTCCAGCGACGGTTCATCGCGCATCAAGAAATGTCGGGGTGGTCCGACACCACTGGCCTGCGCGCGCTGCCAGCGATGCTCGACGACGACGCGCTTGCGGCCTTCACGTCTGCCCCGAGGTCGTCCCGCTCAACGCTCCAGGCCGCGCTGCACCTGTTGGCCAAGGTGTTCGGGCCGCCCTCGACCTGTCGCCACCAGTTCTACGATCGGCGGAAGGTGGTTGGAGAAACAACGCTCGCCTATCGCACGGCGCTGCTCGCCCTGGCGGATTCAGCTTTTCCCCGCATGGACAAGGAGGGGAAGGACGCCATGGTGACGGAGCAGCTGCTGGCGCTGGCTCACGGATTGGGAGTTCCCATTAATACGGCGGACGAGATGGACATCTGCTCCCTGGGGATTGCCACGAGTATCCACGCTTACGAGGTCCTACAGCGGAAGCCGACGGTCGTCTGCGCATCGGTGGAGAACGGGGCACCGGCCGCCACGATCATCGGACCTCAGCCTGCTGTGCCTCGGGAGGAGGCCTTCGCTGGTTCGAGGCCGGGGGAGTGGAGAACGGGAGGTCGTTCGCCCACACGCTCCTCCCGCAAGTTGGAGCAACCGAAACCTACGACGTCCCTCGTCGTCTGCTACAACTGCGGCCTTCGGGGCCACGTCGCGTCCGGGTGCCGGGCCCCGCGTCAACGCACCGCGGGACCACGTCCGGACGACGACCAGGGACTCAAGACATCCCAACTGAACCCGGCAAGTCGCGGCACCTCACACGTTCGGTCCACACGCACGGCACGTTCGGGTCGCCGCTTAGCGGTGGGGGGACCGTGTATGGGCGCCGGGGGTTCGGTTCGGCGAGAGGGGTCCGCGTACGGCCCGAAGGCAGTCGAGTGGTCCGAATTGGCCCACAGGATTGTGGCTGCGTCGGCCGGGTCGTCCGTGGTAACGGGGTACATTGACGGGGTTGAGGTCCGGGTGCTCGTGGACACGGGTGCGTCGGCCACTATTATTTCGGACCTTATTTATAATATTCTTCCCGTACAATGTCGACCACTTCTGCCGGTGGACGTACCATTTTACGCGGCAAACGGGGGATCTTTGGGAATCATCGGCCAGATTCGGGCGAATATTTGTATTGGCGACATTAAATTGGCGGGTCCTATTTTTGTATCATCATCGTTGGCCGTTCCTTGTCTACTAGGCACGGACTTTCTGTCTAAAATGCCCATAAAAATTCTCATAGACCAGGCCTGCATTGAGCTTCCGTCGGGTCGGCGGGTTGAGTTTTTGAAGAGTCCAAATAAGATACGCACGGCTTGTGCGACGGTGCAGGCGCTGGCAACCCGGACTGTACGGGTGCCCCCGGGATCGCAAATGTTGGTACCCCTTCGGTTGAGAAAACCCCTTGGGGCGGATGCGGGGGCGCAGGGAGTTCTATTGGGGCCGTCTAACAGAGCTAAAGGGGACCTCGACTTAGCGGTGGCCCAGACCATGGTGAGAGGGGACAGTGAGCCGTTCGTTGTGGTCCTGAATACGGGGTCGCGGCCGGCCGTGATTACGCAGGGAACGGTGCTCGCTCACGCCGCGCCGCTACCCGTCGAGGAACAGCTCGTTGCTCACGCCGATTCGCATGTCGATACGCATCCCCAAAGTGAGGAGGGGACGGAGTGGTTGGACTCGTTGTGTGCCGGGTCCAGTACCTTGTCCAGTGTGCAGTTGGGTGCATTGAGGGGCTTGCTGCTCGAGTTCGCTGACGTGTTTAGCAGGCACAAGTACGACATTGGCTGCACAGACCTGTTGCGCCACCACATAGAGACTGGGGACGCGGCCCCTATTCGACAGAATCCCTTCCGGCTCAGTCCAGCCGAGAAGGAGCATGTGCAGTCGGCAGTAAATGACATGTTGGCGGCCGACATCATTGCGCCCTCTTCCAGTCCGTGGGGTGCTCCTATCGTCTTGGTTAAAAAACAGGATGGATCCCTGCGGTTCTGTGTTGATTTCCGCCGCCTAAACAAAATATCAATGGCCGATGCGTATCCGCTCCCCAGGATGGATGAGTCGCTGGATGCCTTGGCAGGAGCACAGTTTTTTTCGACGCTCGATTTGCTTTCGGGATTTTGGCAATTGCCCCTCGATGACGAATCAAAACCTAAAACCGCTTTCCGGACACCGGGAGGCCTATTTGAGTTCAACCGATTGCCCATGGGTTTACATTCCGCTCCTGCCACGTTCCAGAGGCTCATGGAATTGGTTTTGTCAGGCCTTCAATGGGACACCTGTTTGATTTACCTCGATGATATCATCGTTTTCAGCCGAACTTTTGAGGAGCACCTCCAGCGACTGAGGGCAGTGTTTCTCAGGATGCGTTCCGCGAAGCTTAAATTTAAACCGGCTAAATGTTTTCTGCTTCGGGAATCGGTCAGGTATTTGGGCCATATCGTTAGCCGTTCGGGGATCTCGACGGACCCTGCTAAGACGCAATGCGTCGGCTCATGGCCAACACCGACCTCTGTTACTGAAGTCCGCAGCTTCATAGGATTTGCCTCCTATTACCGTCGTTTTGTCAAACAGTTTGCCACCATAGCCAGGCCCCTGCACGCCTTGACGGCTAAAGGGGTGCGGTTTCACTGGGGGCCGGAGGAGGAGGCCGCGTTCTGCTCCCTTCGTGACGCCTTGGTGCAGGCTCCCCCCTTGTGTTACCCCGATTTCACGCAACCGTTTGTGCTCGACACGGATGCCAGTAACACGGGTATCGGGGGAGTGCTCTCACAGGTGGTCGGGGGGGTCGAACGGGTGGTCGCCTACGGTAGCAGGGTTCTGTCCCCCGCGGAACAACGCTACTGCGTGACACGGCGTGAATTGCTGGCGATTGTGTTTTTTATACAGCAATTCAGGCCGTATCTGTATGGCCGTCACTTTACGGTTCGCACGGACCATGCGGCTCTCCAATACGCTATGCGGGTGGCGCAGCCATCCGGCCAATTGTCCCGATGGTTGGAGGTCCTTCAGGACTACCAATTCACGACGATTTACCGCAAGGGGTTGCGCCACTCGAATGCGGATGCATTGTCACGGTTGCCGACGCGTACGGAATGCGCATGTCAGTTGGGATCGGCGCGGTGTAAACCTTCTGTCGATGTCCCCGCGGAAGTGGTGCTAGCCGCCACGGATACTACGGGGGTCGACGCCCCCACGGGGAGGGACTCGCTGTTAGCATTGCCTCTCATCGAGTGGGGCCGTCTGCAAATGGCCGACAGCTCCCTACTCGCGCTACGTCGGAAGGTTAACGTTCCCGAGGGCGGGGAAACGCGGGTCGGTTCCTGGGTGTGCAGACAGGGCCTCTTGATGAAGTGGGACTCCATGTCCCGGCGTCACATGCTTGTGGTGCCGGTTGCTGTACGGGGTAAGGTCGTCCTGGCTGCCCATGAACGACTCATGCATCTGGGGTTTCACAAAACGCTCGCCCTCATTCAGCGAGACTACTATTGGCCTGGGATGGTCAGTGACGTGGCGAACATTCTTAAGGGGTGTGTAGGGTGCGCTAAAAGAAAACCGCCACCAATAGCGGCTAATCCACCGCTTCAATCCATTCAAGTTTCGCGCACGAACGAATTGGTCGCGCTAGACATCTTGGGGCCCTTTCCCACTACACCTCGGGGAAATAAGTTCCTGCTGGTTGGCGTAGAGTACTTCACCCGCTGGCCCATGGCGTGGCCACTCGCCAACCAGTCGGCTGCGGCAGTGGCGGACGCCTTTGTCCAAGGTTACGTTTTGGACAAAGGCGCCCCCGAACGCTTGCTGACGGATCAAGGGAAAAACTTTTCGAGTGTTTTGTTGCGCGAGGTGTGCGACCTGTTGGGTACAAAGAAAGTACGTACCTCCCCGTACCACCCGCAGACTGACGGTATGGTTGAACGTCTGAACAGGACGATTACGTCTATGCTGTGCCAACAGGTATGCGACGACCAGGTGGATTGGGACTTACAGGTACCGGGGGTACTAGCGGCCTATCGGATGGCACCCCATGCGGCGACGGGGTTTTCTCCATTTTTTCTGATGTATGGGCGGGAGGCTGATCCGGCCATGGACGTCCAACTGGGGATTTCACAGCCACGTGCGAAATCTAAATTGGCAGACCACATTAAGTTTAACATCGCCAAATTGGCTGAGGCGCGAGAGGCTGCGAGATTGAATTCACGCTCTCGGCAGATCGCGAACGAGCGATTGCATGAACGGAAGGTGCATACGCACAATTGGGAACCGGGCGATAAGGCCTGGCTGCATTGTCCACACGCACCGTTGGCTACGTCCCCCAAACTGTTGAGACCATGGAGGGGACCGGTGGAAATTGTGCGGGTTGCACGACCCCAGAGTATACAGATTAAATGGGGAAAACGCCGTTGGTACGTGCACTCCTCCCGACTGAAACCCTACGCGGCGCCGCGTGACCCCGGGTTGTGCCGTGACGACCGAGCGTGTGATGTGACCGTCGACTCGGGGAGGGATGTGTCGCAGGCTGATCCTCACGTGTCTCCACCTGACCCACCCCCAGGTGTCTCGGACCTGACGGCTGTTGACCGTCGGGAACCGGAACCCCGCGGCTCGCACGGAGCCCCGATGCCTGGCCCATGCCTTCCTGAACTGCCGGCGCCGCCGGATGGCCAACTGCGTCCTGTGCCGTACGACGGTCCGGCAAGGCGGACTCGGTCAAGGACGCAACACTTTTCATGAAAAAAAAAAAAATTCTTTTTTTGTTAAAGCCCGACTTCGTTGCCGGCTTCCCCCTCTGCCGGGGTAATGTCCCGTTCAAGGGACGCTCGGACATTGGGACGCTGCATGAGTCGGAGAGAAAAGAAGAGAAAATGATTAAAGAATTTTTTTTTATTGTTACTCTTTCCGCATACACAGTATCGTTGCCACTCGCTGGATTGTGCATGTTGTTCTTGTTGCGGGTGTGGCGGTTGCTGGGTTTTGCGGATTGCGGTGTTCATGTTGTGTTGTTAGGGTTTGTGTTATGTTACGGGGCACACATGGGGGTGAAGGGGTGTTGTAGGTTTTATTAGCAGCCGGGTCGGCTGCGAGCTATGTGGTAGGGGGTGATGTAGTGGTGGTATTGACGTGCGCCGGCAGTGATGGATCACGGGGCGCGGGGTTGGGCACGCGGTGTGGGCGTGGCATGGACGCGCGCGCCGGTGGTGAGGCGCGCTCACACAAGCTGGGAAAAGAGGATCGTAGCGAGTGCGCAGTGATTGGTCAGATAAGTGAGTACTCTCAGCGACGTCCGCAGGAGGGGTATAAAGGGGGACGCGCGAGAGCACTCGTGGTCAGTGTTAACCAGTTGAAGACCGAAGACGGGGTGGAGGAGGTAGGGGCCCTGTGTGGCTCGGAGCCGAGACTGGGGGGACCGTAGTCCGACGCCCGTGTGGGTCGGGACGGTGGTACCCAGAGCCGAGACGGGCACCCCGGCTGGGTGTGTCCCGGAAGGCTACAGGGCGTAAGAGCCCGTGTCAGTACAGCTGAGTGGGTGTTGGTCACCCGTGTAGCTGAGTGGGTGTTAGTCACCCGTGTAGCTGAGTGGGTGTTGGTCACCCGTGTAGCTGAGTGGGTGTTAGTCACCCGTGTAGCTGAGTGGGTGTTGGTCACCCGTGTAGCTGAGTGGGTGTTGGTCACCCGTGTAGCTAAGTGGGTGTTGGTCACCCGTGTAACGAAGTTGTAGTTGAGTGGGTGTCCGTCACCCGTGTAGCTAAGTGGGTGTTGGTCACCCGTGTAACGAAGTAGGGTGTTAGTCATCCGTGTAACTACAAGTTGGTGAAAATAAAGAGTGTGCTACCCGTGAAGTCGTCTCCTGCCGAGTTACTACTTTACACATGTAAATGCATGCACGTGCATTCCTTACTCAGAGCCCGGATGGGGGATGTGCGTCTCGCAGCGCTCACTGCATTGATGAAGCGTGAATAATTCATCTCCCGCCTTCTCCACACACACACAGGGCACACACCAAAGCCATCGAACAAAGATGGTCAGTGCATCACGCGCTTTCTGATGTGCTACTGCGGCCGTCTGGAACGCTATTCCTTTCGATATTAGGAAGCCACTGGAGCTATGCACTTTTAAATATAGATTGACAACTAATTTAGAAAGAAATTATTTTTGTGTTTAGTTTGTTGTCCTTCCTCCGCACCTCCGATTATCACGGTTGGCTACGTACGGTACGAAAGAAGTTCAACATATACATACACACATAGCATACATACACACAGCACACACACACCATAACCATGAACAAATATGATAACCATGCACAAACAGTACGCACATGCACATAACATAACCATACACACACAGTACACACATCAAAAGACAAAGATCTCCACTATAGCTTTAACAGACTGTTGAGGCAAGTGTTGTTAGCGAGCACCTATGAAGGCTGGCATGACACAGGAGGTGAGTGGCCAGCACCACACCCGGCCGCCTTTGTCTCCCCAGTAGCTATCTTTACACAATGCACCAGGTACTCAATTGAGGCCGAGTTAACCTAGGGGAAGCCCATGACTTGTTCTGATAACCGTCACTGGTGATGGCCGTGATCAGAAATCGAACTCGGGTTGCTGGATTCGTAACGCAATGCACTAAACGCTGCATTGCCGGTTCCCCCAATACTACACATACCACAACTATAAACACACACACATATACCAGATTCCAATTGTCACTGGTGATCTTTGTGGGCAAGAAACCCTGGGAATCCAGGACCGCGGTATGAGCCACTGATCCATCCACCCAACACACATCGAACCAAATATGTGCCCATACACCTACAAATACTACAGTATTTACAACAAAAAACTCAACACACTCAATAACACTGTGGCCTTAGAAAGAAACGTATATAATAGGTGACGTTTTAGGCAATGGTCTTTCTTCATAGCACATACATTCAGAGGCCAGAGAGATCGATACATTGGTGCCAGAAGGCCCCTAAGCTGATGTATTGAAAAATCAGGATGTTGTATATACGTATATATGTATACCTAAATGTATGCTACAACAACAATATTTATAGTACAGTAAACCCTTGCTATACGCGAGTTTTGGATTTGCGGGTTTCGCGTATTCGCGATTTACTAAATGTACACCAATTTGCAATTCGCGAGCCACTGGACTCCAGTATTCGCAAGTGTACGTGTCAGACCATCGACACCAAAATATGAGTTTGAGTGAAAAGATAAAAAGTGCTAGATAGGCGAGATACCGCTGGGAGTGCGTCTGCGGTAGGGCGAAATTTCGGTATAAACGAGTCGACTGAGGTCCATGAAAAATAACGCAAATGCAAATCAGAGAGGAGTTATCCTCCTTAATTACTCACCATCACCACCATCTTAGTCAAATCATCATCAAAGGTAATACAAAAAAACACATTGTCCTTTATAATATATTAGTTATTATTGTAGTCATTATTAAACATTTACCATTTCCCCCCTAATTTCACTCCTACCATTTTTCGCGTTGAACAAGGTTTCTTCATACTCTTGGGTTTTTTCGGTAAAGTCACGTAGGTAAAAATAAATAATAAAAATAAATTATAATAGAAATAAAATAAGTTTTATTTTTTATTTGTATTATTTATTTTTACGTACGTGACTTTACCGAAAAAACCCTAAGAGTATGAATCCTTGCAGTCACGAATGCTTCAAATCTAGAATTAAGGTTTCTTCGTTTGCGAATTCTACACGCGAGCGTTTTCAAGAACGTAACCCTCGTGAATAGAGGGTTTACTGTATTAAAAAAATAATACATTCCTCCAGTTTCCTGGCCGATTGCTGGCTGGGCTTTCTCTCCATCCCATAAATAACTCTGTTGTTCGTCGACCTATGGGCCACTGCCACGTGAAGAGTAAGAGACGTTCAAAGACATACCATTGATTGTGACACCGAAGAGGTGAGAGTAAGGACGACAAGAGACTGACCCGGTTCTTTTAAAATTGCTCCAAAAAAAATTCAATTTGTGCTCCATCAAAATATTTATTTTTCCAGAATTTTAATAAAATTCTACAAAATCTAAAAAGCCCTAACAAAACATAATTATCTTGGCATTTTATTTTTAAATAACCAAGTACAAGATCGCGAATAGAGTCTTAAAATCGCGTTTGCTTATTTTATGTTGCAGAGCAAAGGTTTATCTCCTCGTCGTAAAGTAATGTTACAACACGTTGCTAATACGGTACATTCCTAAATCAAGGCGGGTTTTGGTGATGGGTGGTCGCCACTGGCATTAGCAGTTGCCAAGAATCCAAGTAATTTCGCTGGGCTCATAATACCACCACTCCCCATACTATACAACACTGTACTACAAAGCATACACTTAACCGCTTAACAAGCATACACAATTCGCATACCTCTCCATCTTGAGCAAGCACAGACACACACAGAGGGAAGATCTGCTCTGCAAAATGCCACACTGGAGCCTCGCCTGGTTAAGTAAAGGGCCCGAATAAATAATTAAACATGAGATGAATAAACCTGTTATTGATTACGTGGAGTTTCTATTAATAGGTCAGTATAAATTCGCTAATTATTCATGTTAGTATTTGAAATTGTTTCAGACAATGAACCTTTATGACATTCGAGTGGGTTTTAATGTCTAAACTAAAAGTTGTTTGTCAAAATGTTTCTGTTTTTGTACGATTTAATGTTGTGGTCAAATATACAGAGGAATAGAAAGATCAATATTCGTGCACGAAAAATTAAGGTTGCAGGGAGTACATACCCTGACCCTGACCCTGACCCACTCACGAACATCATTCATACAAATACAACGATGCCCCCCGTGTAGCCTTCAACCTGCTGTTGTTGATGCAAGTGCTGTTAGCGAGGACCCAGGAAGGTTGGAACGGCGCACGAGTGACCAGAACCACGCCCGGCCGCCTTTGTCTCCCCAGTGGCGATGTTTACTACACACAGCACCAGGGACTCATTTCAGACTGAGTCGACCTAGGGGAGGCCCAGCACCGGTTCAGATATTCGTCACTGGTGTTGGCCGTAAGAGGGGTTCGTAGTGAAATGCGCTGACAGTCTACATTGACGCTTCCCCGGAGCTCCGAATATCACGATTTGGCTACGTACGGTGCGAAAGAAGTTCAACACACATACATTGCCACTCACACCAATCCAACACACCACTTGCACCACGACACTCGCCATTCGCCACTTTGTCGCAACGGCACTTGTGCCAGGCTAGGTGCACTTTGAAGCCACGTGAAGTGTTGAAGGCTCGCTGACAGGAAGGTCTCGGGACATACCCAGCAGGTGCCATGAGTCTGCTGACTGAGATGACCGGTAGATGCACACCAGCTGTATCCCCCACTGTGTCACCACCACGCTCACCCACCACCATCACGCTCACCCACCACCACTACCACCACCACCACGCTCACCACCACCACCACCACGCTCACCCACCACCACGCTCACCCACCACCACCACCACGCTCACCCACCACCACCACCACACTCACCCACCACCACCACCACGCTCACCCACCACCACGCTCACCCACCACCACCACCACGCTCACCCACCACCACCACGCTCACCCACCACCACCACCACCACGCTCACCAACCACCACGCTCACCCACCACCACCACGCTCACCCACCACCCACCACCACCACCACACTCATCCACCACCACCCACGCTCACCCACCACCCACCACCACGCTCACCCACCACCAACGCTCACCCACCACCACCACCACGCTCACCCACCACCACGCTCACCCACCACCATGCTCACCCACCACCACCACCACCACGCTCACCCACCCCCAGGCTCACCCACCACCACCACCACCACGCTCACCCACCACCACCACGCTCACCCACCACCACCACCACGCTCACCCACCACCACCACCACGCTCACCCACCACCACCACGCTCACCCACCACCACCACCACCACGCTCACCCACCACCACCACCACCACCACCACGCTCACCCACCACCATCACCACGCTCACCCACCACCACCACCACGCTCACCCACCACCACCACGCTCACCCACCACCACCACCACGCTCACCCACCACCACCACGCTCACCCACCACCACCACCACCACGCTCACCCACCACCACCACCACCACCACGCTCACCCACCACCATCACCACGCTCACCCACCACCACCACCACGCTCACCCACCACCACCACCACCACACTCACCCACCCCCACGCTCACCCACCACCACCACCACCACCACGCTCACCCCACCACCACCACCACCACGCTCACCCACCACCACCACCACGCTCACCCACCACCACCACCACGCTCACCCACCACCACCACCACGCTCACCCACCACCACCACCACCACGCTCACCCACCACCACCACCACCACGCTCACCCACCACCACCACCACCACGCTCACCCACCACCACCACCACCACGCTCACCCACCACCACCACCACCACGCTCACCCACCACCACCACCACCACGCTCACCCACCACCCACCACCACCACGCTCACCCACCACCACCACCACGCTGACCCACCACCACCACCATGCTCACCCACCACCCACCACCACCACGCTCACCCACCACCACCACCACGCTCACCCACCACCACCACCACGCTCACCCACCCCCACGCTCACCCACCACCACCACCACCACCACGCTCACCCACCACCACCACCACCACGCTCACCCACCACCACCACCACGCTCACCCACCACCACCACCACGCTCACCCACCACCACCACCACCACGCTCACCCACCACCACCACCACCACGCTCACCCACCACCACCACCACCACGCTCACCCACCACCACCACGCTCACCCACCACCACCACCACCACGCTCACCCACCACCCACCACCACCACGCTCACCCACCACCACCACCACGCTCACCCACCACCCACCATCACCACGCTCACCCACCACCACCACCACGCTCACCCACCACCACCACGCTCACCCACCACCACCACGCTCACCCACCACCACCACCACCACGCTCACCCACCCCCACCACCACCACGCTCACCCACCCCACGCTCACCCACCACCACCCCCCCACGCTCACCCACCACCACCACCACCACGCTCACCCACCACCACCACGCTCACCCACCACCACCACCACGCTCACCCACCACCACCACCACGCTCACCCACCACCACCACCACGCTCACCCACCACCACCACCACCACGCTCACCCACCACCACCACCACCACGCTCACCCACCACCACCACCACCACGCTCACCCACCACCACCACCACGCTCACCCACCACCACGTTCACCCACCACCACCACCACCACGCTCACCCACCACCACCACCACCACGCTCACCCACCACCCACCACCACCACCACCACGCTCACCCACCACCACCACCACGCTCACCCACCACCACCACCACGCTCACCCACCACCACCACCACGCTCACCCACCACATCCACCACCACCAACAAACACCACGCTCACTCATCCCAACTTTTTTTTAAATCTCGGCAATCGATTCTCGCGAAAGGAAATCAACTCCGTAGATTGGAGGCCGTCGATTCGACTCGCGCGCCCTATTGGTCCACTCGCTTCGTCGGGGTCGATGCCCCGAGGCGCCAAGTCAACGTCGCACAGCGTCTTTGCTGCAGCGACGTGTCAAGTTCAAGTTCATGTATTAGGTAGAGCCCTGTGAGCACATTCGGCTCTTGAATCGGGTGCAACCGCAACAAACAAAAAACAAAAACATGAACAAAAAAATCTTAAATGAATATGTGACTAAGTGCAAACAGAAAATCCAAGAAAAGACCGCAAAATATTGCTGAAAAAAACACCGTACACCAACGCTGCGTGCAAAAATCCCAGTGGGATGCAAGTAAAACAACAACAACAACAACCATCGGAGCAATACTCGCATTAACAAACCATTACACGGCGTTGGAACTAAATAAATAAAAATTTGCACGAATCTTGCTCGCCCACATTTGTAATATTCGCTGCGAAGGTGGTTGTTGTTTTATTTAAATCGACCATTGTTGTGGCAACAACAGTGGTCGATAGCGACATCGGCAGCGTGTACCTGCGATTGAAGGTGTGTGAATGTTGCTGTTTGCTGCGCGGCGTACGAGCTAAAATGCTAAATCCTCGTGTGACTTGTCAGCAGCCGCCGCGTGAAACCCAAGAAACCCGGCGCCAGGGCAGGGGGTGTGTCTGTCACGTGGCCGCGTTCTGCGTTGCGATTGGTGAAGAGCGGTGGGGGCGGGGCTAAGCGGGGTGTCCCCGAACTGGGTGACAGTGACTGAGATGATGCATGGGGTGGGTGACTGAGTGGGTGAGTGACTGAGTGGGTGAGTGACTGTGTGGGTGGGTGACTGAGTGGGTGGGTGACTGAGTGGGTGAGTGACTGTGTGGGTGAGCGACTGTGTGGGTGAGTGACTGGGTGGATGAGTGACTGAGTGGATGGTGGATGACTGAGTGGGTGAGTGACTGAGTGGGTGGTGGATGACTGAGTGGGTGGTGGATGACTGAGTGGGTGGGTGACTGAGTGGGTGAGTGACTGAGTGGGTGGGTGACTGGGTGGATGAGTGACTGAGTGGGTGGGTGACTGTGTGGGTGAGCGACTGAGTGGGTGAGTGACTGTGTGGGTGAGTGACTGAGTGGGTGGGTGACTGGGTGGATGAGTGACTGAGTGGGTGGTGGATGACTGAGTGGGTGGTGGATGACTGAGTGGGTGAGTAACTGAGTGGGTGGTGGATGACTGAGTGGGTGATGGATGACTGAGTGGGTGGGTGACTGAATGGGTGAGTGACTGAGTGGGTGGGTGACTGGGTGGATGAGTTATTGAGTGGGTGGTGGGTGACTGAGTGGGTGGTGGATGACTGAGTGGGTGGGTGACTGTGTGGGTGGGTGACTGAGTGGGTGGGTGACTGAGTGGGTGGTGGGTGACTGAGTGGGTGGGTGACTGAGTGGGTGGGTGACTAAGAAGATGAGTGGGTGGGCGAGCTTCTCAGTGGGTGAGTGAGTGAATGGGTGGGTGGGTGAGTAGGTGGGTGAGTGGGTGAGAGAATAGGTGGGTGGGTGAGTAGCTAGGTGAGTGTGTGAGGCAGTATGTGGGTGGATGCGTCAGTAAATGGGTGAGTGAGTAGGTAGGTGACGAGCAGCGTGGTTATTTAATGACAGCTCTGTGCCACGTTTCTCATTCCTGAGCGGGTAAAATCATTGCAAGAGCCCTAACTGCGCAAAAACCTTCACGGTTCAGTCCTCCGACCCTGCCAGGGAGGTCGTTTTCACGAATCCGTCCCAAGGTCGCTTCACCTCCCTCTCGCCTGGACCACGTCAACACATTTTCCTATCACTCAGATCACCCACTAACACCTCCAACAGCATGGTCGCCTACAACTCTTCCCCTCACGTCTGATATCCCTCAATTTGCCCCATATATCGGACCAAACTCCCCATGGCACCTCCCCTCACCCCCATTATCTCCGTGCTTCATCAGAATTCCACCTCTCACCTCCTTCAGATGTGCTTCGCGGTACGGCCCGACAAACACATCGGAGCGCTGCATTGCACAACTCACATGAATCGTAAATTATTATCAATGATCACGCGCAAGATACGACCCGTGTATCTTGATACGGTACAAGTCCAAGTGACGAATCGTCAAATGGCAAATTGATAGAGATAATGGCTCTCGTCCCTGTCCGAATAAAATGCTACAATCACCACACATTGGCCCTCCATTGGTTAATTTTGATGACAGTCGTAGCGATATTTTAGCCCAATTTCGGCACCCAATGGCAATGAGTCTCGATGTCAGCCAATTGGAAGGGGGACAGACACCCTGGCCTTGATCCATCGGCAGGTGGAACGGGGGGGAGGGGGGAATGGAGAGGAGCCCGAATCATGAATGCAGCAGCAACGCGGGTGGCACTTTGGAGTCGGGAGTTTCCTCCGTTTACCGCAATTTCCCCGCCTGCTTTTGAAGCCCCGCACTCCCATTCTGTCCGGGGAGAAACACAGCAGGCAAAATTTGACATCGGCGAGGCAAAGGCAAATATCTCGCCGTACAGCCTTCAACAAACTCTTGGAGGAAAGTTATGTTAGCGAGCACCTATTAATACCGACTCACCACATGGAGGGGAGTCACCAGTGCCACGCCCGGCCCACTTTGTCTCCCCAATCCTGAAGTTTACACATCGTACCAGGTACTCATTTAAGGCTGAGTCGACCGAGAGGGGACCCAGGACCGGCTCAGATATTCGTCACCGATATTGACCGTGAGCAGGAAATGACCTCGGGGCGACACTTTTTGTAGCGCAGAGCGCGAACCACTGCACGGCCCGCTCCCCCCATGCATCGCACGCACACACGCCGCGTGTTCCAGCGATGGAAACGTGAGCAGCTGCTATTTATTAAATGCTTTATATTAAGTTCACTTGCTTGCTTGCTTAGGACCGTGCAAATCTTTCAGTCGTTTTTTTAACCCACTTCCCGTGATCCAATCGAGCTGACATTTTCCACACAGACTCGTTGTGCGTGACAATTAATGTTCGTGAAATTTGTTTCCAAACTTTTACACTTTTTAGGACAAAAATATTATATTTAATTACCAATTGCTTAATGGTGCAATGCAATCATCTGACCCATAGGTGACAGCCATCTCAAGCCAAAGGACGAGAGGACTCTAGCCGCCACGCATATAAATTATTTATAGTGAAAAACTTTGTTTTTACGGGTTATACTTGTTAAATCCTTTATATTAAGTTCACTTGCTTGCTTAGGACCGTGCAAATCTTTCGGTCGTTTTTTAACCCACTTCCCGTGATCTAATCGAGCTGACATTTTCCACACAGACTCGCTGTGCGTGACAATTAATGTTCGTGAAAATTTTTCCCCCAAAATTTTACACTTTTTAGGACAAAAATATTATATTTAATTACCAATTGCTTAATAGTTCAATGCAATCATCTGACCCATAGGTGACAGCCATCTCAAGCCAGAGGACGAGAGGACTCTAGCCGCCATGCATATAAAGGATTTATAGTGAAACACTTTGTTTTTACGGGTTTACTTATTGTCTACTCGGGTGAATGGCACGGCACTGACTTGAGGGAGGTTTGATGGATCACGCTACGCGAATGGAGGCGGTGTGGCCAGTTGTTGCTAATTCTAGATTTGAAGCTTTCGTGACTGCAAGGATTCATACTCTTAGGTTTTTTCAGTAAAGTCACGTAGGTAAAGAAAGTAAATAAATAAAAACGCATGTTTGAAATAATAATATAAATAACATAATAAATTACGACGTTTCGGAGGCAACACAAGTCTCCGTCATCAGGTGGGACCGTCACAGCTAGATTTACTGTATTAAGTGAGGCACAATTCCAAGAGACAAGTTCTTAAATACAAGTTCAGGAGGGGGGAGGGGCTTATCTGAATGTGGTAGCCAATGAATGGAACGTGTTGGGGGGGGGGGGGCTGAAAGAGAACAATAAGTTGTCGTTCTACCCGGTGTTGGTTGACAATCCAAATATATGGTAGCAGTTGTTGCTACCATATGTGTCGCGTGGTTTTTGTGATATGCTGCTGCGATCAATGCGGAGGTCATTTATCCGAGCCCATTTGCGCTGCATGCAATTTTAAATGTGGCTTTGATTCAACGTTGATTCATGTTTGTGATACTTGTCGATTCCTCTCGTGATGCAGTGTTCTTTTTGTGTGCCGACTGCTTTACTTTGTTGCTGTATTGTTCTTTTTTTTAGCTTTTGTCATGTTGGTGACGCAGTTTGCAAACGAGACTCATCTTGGTCTCTTGAGTTCTCGCCTGGTTAAAGGACATTTGCTGAATGCTGGACATGTCTTAACATCGCGTCGGATTCCTCCAGTCTAAATAATGATTCTGAGAAAGATTCCAAAAGAAAATAAACTCTAACTTGAACTCGAAATATATGCGTGGCTTTGTGACTTCCGACTGAGGAGACATACATGTAAAGGAGCTAGCGATGATGAGGGCGAGGGTATGGTCATCGAAATGAGTGGCATGTATTGTAAGATTAGCTGCAAGGTGGCTGAGATGTAATGCCATGGATTTTCAACAAGGACGTTTAAATCACCAGCAGTGGTGAGTGGAGAGGAGGGACTCAATAACAAGGTGACATCAAAACGTCATCATGACAACTCTATTCTTTTTTTCGTTAAATAAATTAAACAAGTTACGTTGATTTATTTACATTTCCGTATGTGCGGTAAACCGGTAACTGATTATTACCAGGCGTTTTCACGCGATTTACCGAGAATTACAAACAGACGACACGCCTACTGCATGACAAAGCCTAAGATCCCCCCACATAGCTTTTAACAAACTGTTAGAGCACGGGATGGGGATGGGTGTCCAGCACCAAACGCGCCCGCCACAGTTCTACTCACAGACACGCAGTGAAACAACGCACATTATGTACCGTACACAACAACAACGATCCCCGTGTAGCCTTTAATGTTGGGGGCAATTGCTGTTAGCGAGCACCTATGAAGGCCGGCACGGCACACGATGAGCTGGGTGGCCAACACCACGCCCGGCCGCCTTTGTCTCCTCGGTGGTGATGTTTACACACCGCACCAGGTACTCAGTTGAGGTTGAGTCGACCTAGGGGAGGCCCATGACCGGTTCAGATAATCGTCACTGGTGTTGGCTAAATCTTGACTTAAAGCTTTCGTGACTGCAGGAATTCATATTATTTAATTCTTTCGGTAAAGTCACGTAGATAGAAAACATAATAACAATAAAATAATGTAAAAATAAAAAGAAAGTCAATAAAAACAAATTTTATTCAATTTCGATTTAAAGCTTTCGTGACTGCAGGGATTCATCTTCTTGGTTCTTTCGGGAAAGTCACGTGACTTTACCGAAATTGTATTCACTTTATTTAATTTTTTACTTTTATTATTTTATTGTTATGACTTTTTTTCTATCTACGTGACTTTACCGAAAGACCCAAAGAATATGGTGTTGGCTTGCCGGGTTCGTAGCGCAGTGCGCTAACCACTCTGCCACCGCCCACCACATACACTGTATACACTCACTCACACAATGCCCATGACCGCATCACTCGGAATGCGCTCGATCCAGTCAAACCTCGGGAGCTCAGTAGGTTGAGCCTGGATAGTGCTTGGATGGGTGACCTTT